GAGACTCAGTACATTTGATCAGTATATGTTATTGACACTTTGCACTGTGTTTTAACCTTTTTATGGACCTAGAGTTAAATTATGCATCCTGCTAAAAATCCACGTGACAAAATTGAGTTGGAAAAGCTGGTTAAAAAAAATCCTTTGGGTTTATTAAGAAAATATGCCATGGTATTTCAGGTGTTGTGACTTATTTGTTTTGACAGGAGAAGACTGTACACAGTCTTCTGAAAATGCTACCCATGAAAAGATCCTGGGACCAATGCCACATTACTTTCAGCTCTGCTAACTACATCGTCCATCAGAGCTTCTCTTACAAATGACCTATAATCATTCATAAACACATCTCAATTATAAAATACATGAGCTAGATCAAATCTAAGTCTGCCAAATATCATAGACGCAGGATCTTCCAACTGCATCGCATTTCCCACGCTGGATTGCAAGGGGGAAGTTCTAGCTCTACCTACTGACTATTGCGGTCAGCTGCAGAGCCCTGAAAAGGTAGAATACTGACCATCCTATCTATCAGTACGACAACACTTCAGATGAAGGCCTATTCAGGCTCTTTTAAATTCTGTTGCCAAGAATACTGTACATTCTGCTACAAAACTTGTTCCTTCAAAAACAACAGCTGTTCGTCCCCCGAGATCCAAAAAGGAAACATGGCCATTGCCGGTTTCTGAACTTAAACAGGACAGTTTCTTGGAACATAATGTATAAGGTGATGGTGTGTTATATGAAACAGCTGGCAGCAATCTATCTTGACCTGATGGACATAAATGTCAAGAGGAACATCAAGTACTTTGGTATTATGACTGGGATTCCAAACTGGCTGGTTAAGATTCTTAAACCTCTGAACAACGTGACCAACCTGATGAGTTGCCAACTTTCATCCTAGAAATGGCACAAATGTCTTTGTCTTTGTCCAAATGCTTGCCTGTATCATAATCAGTCCTTGGAGGTTTTTTTTTATTACAATTGATTGATATTGGTATCAATTTCCAGCATTATCAAATCTATAGTAACCTGAAATTCTTTGGCAGAACATGTTTTAAACTAGATTAATTGGTGTCAGAAAAATATTTAGATAGAGAGATTGGGATGTCCAGCGCACAAAGACAAATTCTAAAGCCTGCCAGTTAAAAGTATCTGGACAAGCTGTGTTTCCTGAACAGAAAGATGGAGCAGTTGAAATCTCCATGTTCCTTTCTCATGGCTGTAGTTTGGTTCACAACGAGCATAATGTAAAAAGCAAAGTCTGTTATGTTATTTTGGCTATTTGACAAAGACAGTAAACAACTCAATAGACAGCCACCACCCTTCTGGAGTTGCAGATGGCCCATCTTCTAACAGCACTGATTTATTGGCCTGCAAAGTCAAATATGAGCTGAAACACAGCAGGGGAAGTGCATCGCCCGCTGTGAGCGGAATTCAACCTCTATTTCCCCTCATCATAACAAGTGGAAGTCAGCAAACAAAGGTATTATGCACACAGCCTTACACCCACAGAAAATTCCTTGTCACTGGAGTCACAATCCCAAAATCTGGTATGAATAATTCAAGTAACTCTGCAAAACTAAATGGTCAGATACAAAATGTCTGGAGACTAATGGGTGTGGTGGGATGCAAACTGTTATGGGACACATGCATTCATCCTGATTTAACTAAAGAGATCATTTTTTGGGCATTCAAGCAATTGCAGAACTGTTCTCATTGTTTCCATGTAATTAGTATTTAGTGTATTTTCAATATTTTAACATAGTAATTTAATTACATTAATTCAATTAGACTATATTAACTGTCATCCGATAAACAGGTTTAAAATATGGGAGATTTTTATTGTTAATGAATGACAGAGAGATGTTTGAAAGAGCTAGCTGTTTAAGTAAACATCAAGTTTAAAATGTTTATGTACCGAAACCTATTGAGACACGGGAAATATGAGCTGAACATATAAAAAATGACCGAGGTAGTAATCTGGATTTCCTTTTTTTCCTTTTTTAACAGTAACAACTGGCTACAATGGATTTTTTGTTATATCACCTAATTTCCTGCCACACCTCTGTCCAGCTGAAGTCTCTCTGCTCCTAAAGTTGCCACCAGACCTGACTGTTACTCCAACAACACACAAGGCCAGTCATACAAATTATAGTTTTGTTTCCAAATCAATCAGTCCATTCTGTTCAAAATATCGCATATAAAGTCTTTTTCTACCTTTCCATGTAGTTTACTGTGCCATTCTCAATGCCAAAAGTTCAAATATCGATCCATTGTCTATACTGCTTACTCCTAGTTTGGTTGCAGCAGGTTGAACCAGGAACCCTCATGCCGTTAGATAATGGAGCTAACTACTACACCACTGTTTTTCCCAGGTTGGACTTATTTCGTTGAGTTAAACTAATACTTAACTTCAAGTTAGTTATTTGTCACCGAACTTTATATTAAAATCTAAAATGCATTTTGTTGGCAGGTCTCAAAATGACAGAAAGCCCACATATTCTACTTTTATTTGTAAAATAAGACACTGCAGCTGAACAATGTACTTTTTGATACAATACATTGTGACAATATATATGTTTCCACATAGAACCTTTGCAAATATCAAAACCTAGATTTTTGCATCTTCGTGGTTCTCTGAGGTTCTCAGAAACTCAAAATTGCCCCGTAGGAGGGAATGTGAGCGTGTGTGGCATGGCGGCTGTAGTTTCACAAAATAGCACTGAACTAATATAAGAGAAACCGTATCAATTTTGACTTCTTCCAAAGCAAAAAAACAAAACAAATACATGTGTTACATTGGTTGGTGCATTTTGAAATGTATTTTGAACAACATGCCAAAATTCTTTCCTGCAAACAAAACTGACATTTAACCAGTTTCATTTTGGCAATACAAATGTTGCGCAGTTATTCCATGTGGAGGGATTTGGCCCATTAAATTTCAAGATTAATTCGTCTATTATTGGGGAGGACATTTAGCTAATCCATAAAGAGTCTGCTACTATTTTATTTACACTCAACAGATACCTTAACATACAGAAATTGATCCATATGGTTTTGAGCTCTCAGCTGAGACCATTTGTGTGAAATACTTACATCCATGCATTCACAAACCTTTTTTTAGGTGAATTACTTGTGGTTCAGTGTCTTGGAATCGAACCGCCAACCCATACATTTGCAGTTAGTTGTTCTTCCTGCGGAGCTCAAACTGTCCTACAACAGATATAATTAATAGATAGTAGAGAACAATCTCCCAAAGTGACTGATTTAATGGTTGAACCTGACACAGCAAGGAAAGTGCCTCCATAGCCAGGAGTGGAATTTCAACACGATTACTCCAAGTGCAGCTTAAAAAGCAGGAATTGCTTGTTAAATAATATAACCACAGTCATGAGCCAAATATCTGGAACTAATATCTTTAGTTATGGTGACCACCAACAGGGTGAGAAAAAAGACCATACCTTAGAGCTTAGGGGGTGCGGTGTTGTCCACTCCCTCAGAAATCCCGATGAGAATCTTTAAAACAAATAATAAATTCATTTTGGAGTGAGCTAAAACATCTGCACTGCACACTGTGTCCTCACCTTTCAAGGAGATTTCAAAATATTCAAGTGGATCCATTGCTTTTGAGATTTTTCCCCTTTTGTTTATGATTAAAAAGAGACATTGATGGTTTACTAACTTCAGTGAATTTGACTGATACAAATGATACATTTTTTAATGGAAACATGCATATACCTAGGCTATGTGCTACAAGTATGTTTGAATTTGGCAATAATTACTCAGTTTAGCATTGCATGCTATCACTATGTATGTATCTATGTAAATGACTGATTGTTTTATTTATTTTATAACTACATTTTGTGTTGAAGTCTCTAGCTGTGACCACAGCCCCCTCTTCTCTCTTTTCCTTTCTCTCTTTTTCTTTTTCTGTTGCATTAGATCCACGTCTTTAGGTCAACACACACACACTTTGTTACCACATTCTAATGTAATTTACGTGAATTACGACCTGGCTTGTTAGTCTCAGAGGTAACTAGCTATAGGACTTGGTTGTGTCCAGTCCTCCTTTGAAGAGGCGGACCTAGCTAAGGAGATAATGCCCATCACACCCAGATTTCGGGGCTCTTTGCCGACTGAGACCCTGAGAGAGAGGATTTTGTCTGTGAAGAGCCCAGCGCTGAAATACTTTACCTGTGACCCAATAAATGTCATTTTTTATACTTTTGATCGACTCTGGTTTATTCTCAGGTTTCCAAGTAAAGAATTGGTTTCACAAGTATTTGCACTTAACCAGTCCATTTCAGGGTGTGCTTTGCTTCATCATCTCATGCACTAATTATTCTAAATGGTCTGTGGGAGTGAGAGTGTGTATGGTATTTGTCTCCGTAATGGATTGGCAACTTGTGCCCGTTGTTGGTCTAGCCTGAGACAGATAGCTCACTTGCCGGCTGTATTAAGATAAAACACTGATTTAACTGATCAATTTTCAATTGGTGTGAACAGCATGTGTGGCAGCGTCCAGACACATAATTCTAGTCTGTTACTACAGCTTCAGTCACTTCATGTCCAAACAGACGCTACATTACAGCATTTAATTTGTTCTAGAGTTCCACAAGGGCACCTGCTATTTCATTGAGGTTGTTTTTTTCCAGTGATGATATCTATTTTAGGTAATCTCAATGTAAAAACAAAAATGTCACATGGTGCTCAATTTGTTGAAAAACACGTGGTAATGAAATAAGATTTTATACACATTAAGATATCTATAAACTTGTGTGGCTGGGACTTTAATCTTAGGAGCTTGAGTTCAGTGAGTACATGGAAACCATGACTGAAAATAATATAAGCTTCAGCGCTCTAAGAATTATCGGCTGTTTGATAAAATATGACATATCCACTCTCCTGTATGTGTTCGAGCCGAGTGATTTACTTTTCCCGAAACAACTAGAGGTCCCCCTTGTGGCTACAATAACATGCAATCTATCAATTAGGTAACCGTAAGGTCACCCCCAAATCTGCATATATTCTCAGCCAGACAATTCAGGATCTTCAAGATCTGTATCACTCTTGTCATTAGACTTTTTTTTCACAGCAGGATGGCAGACTCTCTGTGTAAGCTGTGCCCTCTGTCCACCGCAAAAACTGTGGAGCGTGGCAAGTGGAGCAACAAAAAAGAGTTCATCCTTTCAGTAGCCGGAGCTATTATTGGATTGGGCAACGTGTGGAGATTTCCATATCTTTGCTACAAGAATGGAGGTGGTGAGTATTTGTGTTTGTTATTTGAATTAAGGATTCAACAGGCTACAATGTTAAATGAAGATATAGTTGCCTTGTTTAAGCTCAGAGCGGAGCTAAATTCTCTGTACTTTTGTAACATTGTAACTTTATACCTCATTAAAATAAGCAAAAGCACCGTTATCAAACTATGGAAAAGTGCTATAAGCAGAATGTAAAGTGTCTACATCTCATTAAAAACAGTGTAACTTAGTGTTACACTTCTCTCGTTATGTTAGCATAGTATGTTAAGAGTTTTTCATGTGTCGTTGACGAAGATTCTGGCCTTTTATATGATGAGTAAAAATAATTCACTGTACATTGACCAATTCACCTAATTCTGCTTGCTAGCATTGAGCACTTTGTAACAACAGAAGTCCCTTAACTCTTTTATGTCTGATCCAAGAAAAATAGTGATACAATTTTTTTTGTTTTGTTTGTTTGAAGTCTTTATTTGGCCCCTTAACAAAACAGGAAATATAATTTGTAATATGTATAGTCTTATGCCCATTGTTATCAAGTATATCTGATTGTGTTCAACAGGCATTTGATAAAAGTTTTTACCATTAAATGATGCAAAAGGTCTCAGATGCGAAACATTTCAGAGACAATATGTATCAAACATATGGCATTATCGCGTTAAACAATTTAGTAGTAAATTATGCAACCTCCAAAAAATCCATTATGGGTACCATGGTCATCCTATGAAGATGTGCTGTTTTTTAATGGTGATCTGTGAGTATCAAAAAGCGGGCAACATTTTGAGAGTGGGGAATGTTTTACAACTTGAAGTGTCTTTTTAATACCAAAGCAAACATAATTTTTTGTGATGATCATCCTTTTTTAAACTTATCCAGACAACGTTTAAATCTTCTCTATCAGCAAATACTTTAATCAAAGATGCAAAAAACCGTAACCTTTTCATTTTACACAAAAACGGCCACTTTAAACAGCACAAACGCAAATGTATTTAAAGTAAAATGCACTGTGAGCCAACGTACTGTTTTCAGACAGGAATATTTTTACTCATCCAGCATGAAATGAAACTTCTAAGGACAGCCACATTTACACCCCAACCGCATTATCAGCGAAGAGTGTAAGGCAACAAAAATTTCCACGGTAAAAATGTTCTAAAATTCTGTTTACATTTTTGTTGAGACAACAGAACTTTTCCAGAAAATTGAATTAATTTCCTTGCTTATAAATAACCTATCAAAAGCAATAATTTGATTGCTGAATGAAGTTATTTCTTTGAGGTAGGGTTTGACCTCTTTTTTGTCAGTACTCTCTAAGAAAATGCTGTGGCCACCTTTTCCGTTAAACAAAATTTCTATCCATCTATATATATATATCTATTTAGAACAGCTTATTTATTTTTTTATTCAGGGTTGCAGGGTTCACAGGAACCATGGGTAAAAGACACACATATATGTATATATACAGTACATATGTGTATATATGTACAGGATACACACACACACACACACACACACACACACACACACACACACACACACATATATAGATATATAGATATATATATATGAATGTGTTTGTACGTGTGTGGACTGTACATTCATAAAAAGGAGGGTGTTCATGCGAGATTTTATGTTACAAAGGAGATTTTTATAATGCTGTTATTTTCACCAATGAAGAAGCTATTGAGATCCAAGTGTTTTTTTTTTTTTTAACACAATCATCACATATGACAGCAGTTACCAACAGCTGTTAACAACGATCCACAGCGATCATCACAGATAAGGTTAGCGCGTCAACAGATGCCCGGTGCCAACCAAATCCATTTGGAACGTTTGTTAAAGAAAAATCCGCCCTCAGGTCAAGGTTGATTACTTACAGTTTGCGTTTGCCGCTTCAGAGCCAGCAGGGGCTAAAGGCTGGAGCGTCCTGAGGCGGTGGAGGAGCTGTGCTCCTGTTAGCTGTGAAGTCCATCTTTTTTTGTGCCTGGACAACAGGCTCCGCGCTGCTTTTGTGGAGTCTTGGCAGTGGGCTCAAATATTACAATCAGCTGTTGCGTTTGGTGTTAAGGCCAACCCTAAAGCAATGTCTGCGACTACAAAATAGTCAGTAAAACAGAATTGTAAAATACGTTTTTGAAAAACGACATCTTAAAACAAGCAAAAAATAAAATGTTTGGTTGAACAATTGGAGTAATTCATTTCTGTGTTGGAGTCTGGGAAAGTGTAATAAATATTTAATGCAAGGTTATTTTTTTGTTTTGTTTTTTGGTATTTTTAATGCAAAACATTTATTTAGTTCAGCATGAAATTAACTGGGAATTAACTTGGAATTGTTATCTGTATCCAGAATTACCTGATTTTCTTTCTGATTTTTCTGTTCTTTCTTCCTGAAATTCACTCTAGCTACTTTCACTCTGCAGACAAAGCCAAATACATAGATATTATCCAAGTCAAAATGAAAACTGGTCATGCAGTCAAGATTAACCATCTATCGTTTAAAGTATTCAGCAGATTGTCATTTTTACCTGATATAACAGCTTATTTTTCTTTAGATATCAACACATGCAGGCTTGTAGGGCCATTTTCAGATTCTTTCACTCCCTGTACAGTTGGATCTCAGCAGGTTTTTCCTCAATTAAAGAACAGGATACTAATACTGAAGGCCACTCCAATCATGAAAGTTTTAAACCAACTTTCAAAATAAGATGGTTTACTGTATATTCTCTTTTTTGGGGGGGTTACAATATAGATACAGAGACATAACTTTTCACAGACAGTTTTAAATTAGGTCATGAAGTATTTTGAAAGAAGACAACATTACAGTGTAGACAGCTTCATGCTTCTTTCGAGTGAATGGATGGAGAATGACCTGCATGTGTTTAAGCATGTGTAAAAAAAAAAAGAAGAAAGACAAAAATATCCACAGTGCTTTATTCCACTCAGGTGCATTCTTCATTCCTTATATCCTGTTCCTGGGAACCTGTGGGATTCCTCTATTTGTGTTGGAAACAGCTCTGGGGCAGTACACTAGTCAGGGGGGAATCAGGTGCTGGAGGAAGATCTGCCCCTTGTTTGAAGGTAAGATGGCACTCTGGATTGTTGCACAACAAATATGAAAAAGAAGGGGAAAATTGTTGAAAGTTTGTGTTCTTTTCAGGGTTGGGGTATGCCGGCCAAATCATCACCTTCTATGGAAGCATCACCTACATTGTGATTTTAGCTTGGGCATTGTTCTACTTCTTCTCTTCCTTCTCTCGAGAGTTACCCTGGGCCTCTTGTAACAACACCTGGAACACAGGTCCGGACATGAAGTTACATCTCTCTTCCATACATGAACCAGTAACAGATTTGAGACAGCTCAATAAATATATCTAACATCAGTTAGACATAATTCTTATAAGTTGAAATGAAATCATTTCTTGTTTGCCATCATAAGTTGTAGAACTTTTTTTAAAATATATTTTTAAATACGTGTATGTTTGAATATATTTTCTATATATTTCAGATCATTGTATGGTAACAAATTACCATAATGCCACTCCTAATGGAACATCATTTGTGAATGGATCATCATCATCCGTCTTAGAGTTTTGGCAGTAAGTTTCAGAAGAAGTCTGTGGATATATTAGACATCTACAGACTTGTTAGATCTCTATTAATCATTATGACAGCTGTTGTTGCTTTTATAAGGGTGGGAAAGTTACTCATAACACAGTTGGCAGCATGGTTCTCTCTAAATTCACACTGGTAAGTGCTCTAATTGGGTGGAATAATTTTAGTAGGTTGAAGGACTTCCTCTGATGTTGGCATGTTTCTCTCTGAATACCATCCTAAGCTCGGTATCAACATGTATCTCGTGAAGAATCAATTCTTGACTCACTGATCAAATGTTGATGCAATAAGTCTTCTAATTACTTTGCATTTGAATCCAGTTAATACCTGTTTATTCCACTTCACTAGACGGTATTTATTAAACGCCACTCAAATAGAAGTTAGATTATACTGAACCCATTGCACACAACACTGGAAAGCAAAAAGTGCATTTTAGAAAACAGTTTCTCTGTTATACAGACATATCGTGTCTACAAAGATGTGCTCAGCCAGAATCAGGTCTATTGAGAATACAGGAACACACTTTTACTTTTTACTGGAGTCCTCACAGCATGTATGGGTAGATATAGAAAACTGATACAGACTGCAGCTGACTGGCTGGAATAGCCGTGCAATCCCAAAGCTGGATATCAAATACAGACAGCATGCTCACTTTTGCAATAAAGTTTGATACTGTCTCACAAGTGCAGCAATTTTCATACAGTGTTTTAAATGATTGTTTACTCATACTAACTGTACCGATTTTACAGTCGTCGGGTGTTGAATATATCCACTGGCATAGAGAATTTAGGAAACCTACGTCGGGACCTTTTTTTGTGCCTTCTTCTGTCCTGGATCATATGCTACTTCTGTGTCTGGAAGGGAGTGAGATCCACTGGAAAGGTAAGGCTGAAATCTCCAATACCTTTCAAATACTCGCATGTCACGGCCAAAGCTATTGTCATTTGAACTTTTTTTCTTGTTGAAACATAGCAAAGTGGTAATACAGTTGCTTGATTTGAATAACATTAATAGTACTACCCAGAAACTATGTGGATTAAGCTCAAGGCTATGAAGCCTTTGTTTATCCATGGATGTAAAAACGAGACTTAAAGTATCTAAATGTTCCACCTTATAAAGAGCCATTTTTCCCACTAAGTGAACACTCAAGCCCTTCCTCATGTGCTTGTGAGATGTAACGTAGTTCATTGCTTGCTTTTAATACAATGACACAAAGCGTCAGTAATTAGAATAATGAATGTCCTAAACTGATGTTGCTAGTCTATAACGACTACTGAGTGGGGCAACCAATTCAGCTGTGGCATGAATTGGAGTGTAGGTGATAAAACCCAAACAAGCATTGTTTTTTTTTGTTTTTTCCCCCGGGACACAACTGAATAGCTTTCTCACACGTGGGCACATGCCTTGCCTTCTCACACTAACTCCACATAAAACCAACTTCAAACTCAAAACAGCCACAAGTCAAGTAAAAATTAATTGATCAATCAATCAATGGCCTTTGAAGATGAAGTCCTTTTAATTATTGGCTAACTTGATTATTGAAAATAAGAAAATTCATAAAGACGGGATGAATTCGAAGGCAGGACTCAATGCCATCCCATCTTTTGTGCTGCATTTGGTATTGAGTGTGCCAATGGGAGTGCCCTGCTTATATTTATACTGTTATGAAATTACTTCAGACCTGTAGACACATGCAAGGAAATAGACGGGAGACAGACAGTTTTAATGGATGTCTTTAATCTCAGTGTGAAAAATGTCCCCAAGCTATCACCTTCAGTCTCAGTGGGTGAACAGGATATAACGTCTGTGATTGCGTGGAAGTCGTGCCTGACTGTCTTTGCCAAGTAGTATAACTCAAGTTATAAAACTCAACTCCTTCAGCAATATTTTTTTTCAATGTCTGAAGATCAAATTAAGCAAGTCTTTACTGGTACAAATCACAGATTTGATCATTTTGAGGAAAAGACGTAGTGATTAAAAAGAAGTTACATGTTGTAATCAGTCAACAGTTGACCTGTTGTTGTCTGCTTTTGTTGATTATTGTCTCCATGGATCATTTATATAAAATGTATTTATCATTAGTATGATTGTTTCTATTCTTTATTTTTTTATGTAGGCAGCCTACTTCACAGCCACGTTCCCCTTCGTCTTTTTAGCGGTGCTGCTTCTCAGAGGAGTTACTCTTCCTGGAGCCTCCCATGGTATCAAATACTATTTGTACCCCAATCCTTCCCGGCTCGCTGACCCACAGGTATCATTTAGCTTCTATTGTAATTTTGCATTCAGTCTCTGTTTTACAGGTTGTTCGGTTAGCACCATAGCCTCATAGTAGGAAGGTTCTCGTCTCAAAACCCCTCTGGGGGCTTGTCTGTGTTTCTGAGTTCTATCCAGTTACTCTGGCTTCCTCCTACAGTACAGAACATTCATGTTAAGTTAAACATTGACACTACACTGACCTTTGCAGTTAATGTCAAAGATGTGTGTATTGTTCAAGTCTTTGTTTCCCTCTGATGGACTGGTGACCTGTGTAGAGTGTACCCTGCTTCTTGTCCAATGACAATAAATGGTTACAGAAAATAAACAGAGGTTATTCAATACCTTTTTTCCTCGTTTATAGGTCTGGATAGATGCTGGAACTCAAATATTTTACTCTCAAGCTATATGCATGGGATTTCTTACCTCTCTTGGGAGCTACAACAAGTACAACAACAACTGTTACAGGTGAGATACCCATGAGGATGTCATTTTGAATTTAATTGATCACACTGTAATCAAGCTGTATCAGTGATTAAGATGAAGAGCAGATTATATGCTGAGTTGCTCACTCATACGGTCAGAGTCACAACATTTGTGCTCGACAAGGATAATAATTTATAAAACAGTTTACAGATTTATGGATGTAAAATTTAACTTCGCTGACATCCATAGTTATGTACGGTATATTGACAAATGGAGTTCTTATCTTTAGGTATTATCCCTATCTTTTGAAAATGCACATTCATGACTTCACATTGCTGCTTAAGGTTCATTGTGTGATCAATGAATTTCAAATATGTATTAGACCAATAGAAATGATGACAAAATTCCTCTAATTTGCAGAGACTCCTTCTTTCTCTGCTTCCTGAACAGTGGGACCAGCTTTGTATCTGGATTAGCTATTTTCTCTTTTCTGGGTTACATGTCACAAAAGCTGGGTGTTGACATTGCTGCTGTTGCTGAGTCAGGTAAAGCTGTTCATCAACTTCATACCTCTTAGCTTTGTTAAACCCTTTGCCTCTTTCAACATCATATTACAGATTTTAGTCAATTATTGTGAATATGAAAATTGATTTTTAGATCATTTAACCAGATTAATACTAGTTTAGATCGAACCATAATTTTGGTCATTTTCACAGAGAAGCTTTGGGGACTAAGACATTGTCCCCAACAGAGATGACTGACTGTCTTATTTCACGCTGCAGGACCTGGACTTGTCTTCATTATTTACCCAGAAGCTGTGACCCTGTTGCCTTGGCCTCAGGTCTGGTCCGTGTGCTTCTTCACTATGATCATACTGTTAGGAATTGATGGCCAGGTCAGACAAATCTTCTTTCATGCCTCCTTAAAATAGAATGCAGGTTTGAATATTATTTTCTCATCTCTACACCAATGTGTCTGTTTCTAGTTTATAGGGCTCGAAAGTATGATGACCTCCTTAACAGACATCTTCCCTTCACATATCCAAAGGGGATACCGCAGGGAGCTTTATCTGCTGTTGATCTGTTCTTGTAGCTTTTTGATGGGGCTGTTTTTAGTGACAGAGGTGAGTCAAATGATGTGTATTTATTGTATTCACAAGGATTTTGGCTACACACAGTGCTCAGGATAAACATAGGAAATTAACCATATATCATTAGCTCTATTGCAAATAGACTATCATCACTTTAAAAGCAGTAAATAAAACATTTACATATAATGTATGTATGTAAATAAAGTCTATGATTTACTTTTTTCATTTTAGGGTGGTATGTACATTCTCCAGATCTTTGATCATTATGTATGCAGTGGCCCTGCTCTTCTCATAATGGCAATGCTAGAATCAGTGGTTATTGGTTGGATTTATGGTAAGTTATTTATTTCTAGAAATGTCTGTGGTTTGAATATCTCTACATCAATGTTATCCCCAGATTGGAAAATGAAATTATTTATTTGATGATTGTAAAGTATGTGTGTTTCAAACTCCAACCAGAGTTAGATCATTGTGATTTTATTTTTAGGGGATTGGTCAACTTTGAATTCAGTCTTTTTATCTTTAGTGCACAAACCTAGGATCGATTCCAAAGGAATTTAATATTAGACTACTTTTTCCATTTTACAACCAACTTTGGTGTTTTCATCAAAGCAATTGTTTAGTTGGAACACACAGTGTATCCATGAATTACTGAGGCAGCCCTTCATTTGATTTGTCTACTCTGTCAAATCACCACATCTCAACAGAAAAACCTTAGGATGCTGTGGTATCGTGAGCGGAAATGGCTCACTGGGGGCTAATTGGTATGCCAATACTCTACCAAACTGTTTATTGAGGTTAAGCATCTCAATCAACGCATTAAGAAAAACCCCGACTATAACAGGAAACAAATTTAAGAAATACATGCATTTTATCTTGTAGCAACATCATCAAACCACTGCATTTTAGTTAATGTCACTTTCTGAGAATATACTGTATATTGTTATATTATATATTGAACATTTAAATACACTTCTTTTTGCTAAAACAAAGTTTCGTTGTCTAAGGAGCTGATCGTTTCTGTGACAACATTGAAGACATGATTGGTTACAAACCCCTCTCTTTTATGAAGTACTGCTGGCAGTATATCATACCTCTGATTGGTGTTGTAAGTTTCTAAATAATCCTTTCACATTTAACTAATCTTGAATTTTCTTCCAGCCTTTGTTTATATATATGTTTTGTCCTTGAAGGGAACTATTACATTTTTGTTACTGAGATACAGCCCAATGAAGTTCAACAACATCTACGTGTATCCATGGTGGGCCTACTGCTTTGGCTGGTTCCTGGCCATGTCATCGTTGTCTATGATCCCACTTCACATGATTCTTAAACTGCTCAAAGGAAAAGGGACTCTATGGCAGGTCAGTTGTTGATTTGGGATTTTTGACAGACTGATCACACAGATTATCATTATGAAATACTCCTGGGCCAATATAATCATCCCACTATTCTAAGAGATATTCACCAGACTGGGCCCCAAATGGACCAGGCAGACACATCAAAACCCCTTGACCTTTAGTCATCTAAAGGAGAGTTAAACTTTTGCATCCATCCTAATTCAACCAGACCATTGGTGACAGTTCATTCTGGAAATGGGTGCTTCCAGCTCTGGAGCTAGGACGGTTTCTTGCATAATTCAGAAAAGGAAGATAAGCTGCATCCCTGTGCCTTCTTCTCGAGTCGATTGATCCACAACGAACCGAACTATGACAGTAATTGAGAGCTTATGGCCAGTAAACGTGCTCTCGAAGTGAACACACTTGTCAGAAGGAGCCAAACAACCTTTTTTAGATCTTAAAATCTCTTAACAGTAAAATGCCAGTTGTTTGAAGTCTTTCTAATGTAATTGGTTATTTTTCCCTCTCCATCTCCTATCATTTAGGATTCCCTAATATAAAACCAGGGTCCCCTTTATCTAGACATCTTAAAAAGAGGAGGCCACTGAATCCGTACGCATCCTGTGGTCCACCTGCCCAGTGGGCAGAGTTACCTGGCATGGGAAGAATTTGATTGGCTCAGGATTTGCTACAGAGCCAGAACTGGGTTACGGACCTCATCGTTGTCGATACATTTGGTCAACCTTTTAAAGCGCCATCATCCAGTCGGCTCACTTGCCTAAGTATGCCAGTCATTCAGACATTCATCGGGACATCAACGCAACACTACTTCTGTTGGCCATCACTTGAATTTAACACATGTGAATATGTTGCCTGTCAGATTTGTGCTAGGAACAAGAGCAATAATAACCGTCTTCTATTTAAAAAACTCATTAAAAACAAATACCCGATTTCATTATATGTGTTATCCTTAATATTGTAAATGCCCAATAGATGGTCCAACACTGCGGTCTAACGCTATCGTTTGGCCGGTACAGTGCTGCTGTGATGTCCTTTATGGTGGGCTGGTGCTTGTGTGGCATATAAATGATGTCACGGGGCAGGTAGCCCATCTTTCTGTTTGGACTTCACATGTAATGGAAAATCAGTTAAATCAAATTATTGGATAGCTCCGCTCTGTCTGCTTTTGGGTTCCATCTTGTGTGAAGTAGCTATTTCATAGCTTTGTACTTATTGACTGATTTTAAAATCTGTTCTTCTTGCTGCTGCAGTTTTTCTGTTGTATCTAATATTCTGATGCATTTGTGAAACTTTTTCAGCGTCTCAAAACAAGCTCCAAGGCTGCAGATGATCTTCCAGTCATGGCAAAAGAAATGGGAAGCATCCAAAGTTCAATAACTACAAGTCCATGATCTGACGGTTCAATTGAGAATTTTGTTGAGAAATACCTTTTGTTTTTCATTTAATAGCGCTATATATGCAAACATAGGCACATCAACATGTAGATGGCTTCATTTAAAAATATATTTCTGTTGTGGTGATATTGCTGATCTGAATTCGTATATTAACACATTTTTGAGAATAAGCAAAGTTAAAGCTCTTTAATATTGCATTATACAATATATTGTGTAATTTTTTTTTACAGTCAATTTCAAATATGTATATTCAAAGAGAAAGGGCACGGCAAAATCAATCCATATTGTTTCTTATGTTGCAAAGCATCTATGTCAATAAATGTGTCTCTGTAAGGCTGTTAGCTCTGCACACACTTGTTGTCTAGAACATGGTATCCGCAGAAAAGTGTGACAATTCATATTTTATTCCTGTAGTTTAGTTGGAACCAATAAATATCCATTTATATGAGGTGAGACTGACTTGTAATTATGCACTTTCACTCTGTGCTCAAAAACCAGGTCTTAACAAATGTTTGTGGGTTTTTTGGCTGGTATAAAAACTTTTTTAGGTTAAGTACAATACCTTCCCCTGCTGCAGCAGAGTTGTCCGTTTTCTGAGAAAAGGAGAGCATTGCTCGTATGGGTCTGTGCAGAGTTTAAAAAAAACATTACTCAAAGCCAACAAATGAATAATAACAATTATAAGGAATGAGGACTAATTCAACATAGGAAGATTTTCTTCTTTGATAAGTCCCCCAAAGCTAACACATGTATTTATCAACCCCAGTATAGACCCTTCAGTCCTACCAGTCCTGAGTCTGTTGATATGATGCAAATAGAGAGTCAACACCATAACAGGCAGATGGTTGTACTGTTAAAAGGTTATCTGTGTTGTATTGTATCCGTGGTTCCAATAAATCTGATTTGGCATTAGCCTGAACTCTTTAACAGGGAAGAACTAGTGCAGCCTGCTGCAGGATCTTGGGTAAACTTTCAATATTCTTTTGTCCCATCTCTCAGTGACCAGGAAGAACACCAGAATTATCATTCACATTTACACTTATAGCAAGGGAAAATTTTGACTCAAGATGTACCACCAGCTTATATGTATTTAATTTGCAATTTGTTTTCTTAATGCAATCTTGCTGCCAAACAAAGATATGGTTACAAAAACGCACTAGAGCCTTAGCCTCTTGTTAGAGAAACCATGCCGCTTAAAATGCAGATTCATTCCTCCAAGGCAGTTTCCACAAGATTAAGGAACTTGGCAGATTTGCTGACATCCAGACAAAGGAGCTGTACGAAGGATGAATACCAATGATGGGCAGCGAACTTGGATTTCAGGTCATCCAAAGAACCTTGCTGGGTCTGTTTAAGGAACAGAAACTCTTTCTGATCAGTGTTTGTAGACGTATGCTTGTAGACGTATGTATGGAGGCAGAATCAACTATTAAACAGTTTATCAAAGTTTGGACTTCAAAATACTGTTTAAGAGAAAGTTATTTGTTGAAATACATTTAGCAGTTATATTTTCAGTTTAACTGGTTTGAAAATACAGGGATGAATACTTTATTTGATCATGTATCGACAAAACACTCTAAATGGACTTTTTTGTCTGCACCACCATGATTTGAGGATGACAGTCCAACAAGTTTTAATGTAGCAATTTGACCACAACCATTACCTACCATGGACATGCTGAATGTCCTCTAAAATGAAAGCAAGACAGTTATAATTCTAGACAGAACTGAGATGATAGTTATGCTCTGAGTCAAACTAAAGGTATGTTTTTATCTCTACCCAAACGGGACTTGTTATCTTTATGGTGTAGTTCACCTTTAAATCTATGGGGACAGTAATGCAACGCGAAATATGGCGTACTGGTGTTTAAATGAGCAGAAGAAGAAATTCGCGATGTCTCCACTTCCGTGCTAATCTTCTTCTTCTCCTACGCGTCGTCTTTCACAGCACACTCCAGTTGTAGCGTCTCAACCGTTGAACCTCTGCTCTCTATCCAACTTATCACAGGTTGACATCAAGGTAACACTATTTCCTTCAGTCGTCATTAATTACATCGGTTGGTCAAGTTTATTTTTTTCTGTTGTCGTTTGGTCTGTGCAGTATGACGTGCTTGTCTTTAAAAGAAATACACTTCTCGAGTTAACGCTGGCGCTAATGCTTTAATCAGCGGTGCGTTATCCGGAGACCTGTCGCAACTATATTTCGAAAAAAAAAAAACAGCGCAAACGTAATTTATTTAATTTAAGTACGTAGTTAATTCATATTTGAAGAATTGTGTGCCCAAAACTTATGCAGGGAAATATTCATACTACTTAAATTTGACATTGAAAAATGAATGCACTTGCAAAGTAAAATTAATCTGAGTTGACCAGTTAAACCTTTACATAAATATTTTCCTGTCTTGACCAGTCGTTATATTTGAACAAATCTATATCTAATTGTACGCAACTTAAAATGTATTCTCCAGAAGTAACAAAGATATCCACACATCTGCACAATTAGATAAAAAATAGATGAATTGGTGAAAAACAGGTGAATGATTTACATCAATCTAGATGCAGTTATCTTCTTTTTTTCTTCTAACAAACACCAATCTTCTCATATAGATGTTTCTTTCGGATCAACCAATTGTACCATCTTTGAAACCAATCATCATCGGCTTCTAAGCACAGTATAATGAAAATATGCACATGACAACTCCCCGACAAACATCTGAACATCAACATTTATCAGTGCTAAATCATAAATTCATGTAATATAGTTGGGTGTAGCTGCAAGCTACCAGCAGATGCAGCAACTTGAGTGTCTCAACTGCCATGTGATTAATCTGATGAGGAACCCAAATCCAATTAGGATAGTAGCTTGCCTTCTAACAAAACTAAGCTTGCAGCCAGGTCAGGATATTTTTGTAAGCGTCATATAGAAAGGAGGGTAAAGGAGGAACAGCGGACATATTTTGGTAATGGAAACGGAGGCCTTAATGGTGTCACTTTGCATTTTTACCATACACTCAGAGTTGATTTCGTAAATAGCTTTCACCAGATGGTAATCTGAACTGTCTCTAACCAACAGGTTTTGCACCATGTCAATTGTCAAGATCCACGCGAGAGAGATTTTTGATTCTCGTGGAAACCCTACTGTTGAGGTTGACCTTTACACTGACAAAGGTAGGTCAGATTGTGTCCATACATTAATGTAAGGCTTACAGAAAAAATAACAAAAAGATTGTATTTAAATTGATTACCACATGAGGTTGGCATTTTTCTTATTCTCCCATTTTTTAACAGTACAAAGGAGTTACTTTGAAAGCTTTGTGTATGCCATGTGTCCATATCAGCCTTTGAGAAAAAGTCCACACACAGGCCACACCTGTTTCTCCTCTTTATAAGCACGAGTAAACTGACTCAAAACATCAGTATTGGTACATTGTTCCCAACAAAATGCTTTTCAGACCCTGAAAATGACTAAATCTGAGTAAAACTAAAGAAACAAATGTTAAAGTGGTGGCAGCTGTACAATAACAAAGCAAAAAAAGTTCACATCATTCCCCATACTTCTGAGACTGCCCTCATGTGGCCCCAAAACGCTACAACAAAGATCCATGTCCAAATGCAGAACAGTTAAATAAAAAAAAAAAAGCTTCCTCTACTCATTACCAGGATGTGATGCATTCATGGAACGTTGGTTTATTATTCCTTTTCATCTCAACCCACTCAAACAGCTGAGTACAATTAGGTCACAGTCGGGGACATTATCATCTTTAACTGTTTATGTGCCTTAATTTGAATTTGAACTTACTAACTAACTTGACTAATGCATGTGTGCAATTATTTTCCTTCCACTTCTTTTTTATATTTTCCTTCTTTAAACTGTCACGGGATATTTTCTATCTATTTTAAGGATGAAGTTGCTTTTTTAAAGTTTTCTGTTTTGCGTTTTTTATTATGAAGTGTTTCCTGTAGTTCAGCATCTTTCATATGTAAAATGATCTTTTCAATAAACCTCACTGGTTTATTGTATTCTCTTTGCATATGTCCTCTTTTGCAAGTGTTTTTGATCTTTTATTTATTTCTTGTATCGTCCTTCTGCTGTTTGTATATTTCTCAGGCTTGTTCAGGGCTGCTGTACCTAGTGGTGCATCCACTGGAATCTACGAAGCTCTGGAGCTCAGGGACAATGACAAGTCTCGATATCTTGGGAAAGGTCTGTGCGTGGGCTTTGTATTTTTATATTGGGTAGAATTAGTCTTTTTGATATTTCCACCAATATTAGAAAATGTTTTTGTGCCATCTTTACCTCTCTCTTTAATTTTTGATACCCTCCACTCTCTCTCTTTCTCTTTGGCAGATGTGAAAGGGTTAGTGAGTTGCCACTGCCTGTTTTTGTTACTTAAAACTAGAATTTGGTTTTCAGCTAACAGAAAATGGCATAATCATAACAAATAATTATTGAATGTTATATGATGTGCATGGGGAGCTGACTGAGAAGCATGCTGTCACTACTGTATCTGTAATGTTGACCGATTAACTTCTTTGCTGGGAAAAACTTTCATTATAGGAAAAGGACAACTGGTCTCATTATCCCCAGATGAATTTGAAGATAAATTGTGCATGTGTTGATAAATCTGTCACACAATGTTCTGGAAAAAACGTTGCTCTTTCTCTGCCACAGGAGTCTCGCAGGCTGTTGAACACATTAATTCATCTATCGCACCTGCTCTTGTTGGCCAGGTAAGACGATAATTCCGTTTCTATTTTTGGCTCATCGTAGGGTTGGGATTTCCCTCCTGATGCAATCCAAATGGGAATCTTTTTTTTCCTTCAGGATGTGTCTGTGATTGAGCAGGAGAAAATTGACCAGGTGATGATTGACTTGGATGGTACAGAGAACAAATGTAAGGAGAAGTCACCCAGTTATTTATAACAGAAATATTTTGTGAAGGATAACTTCATCTGTTTAAATTTTTAAGCCTGTTTTTTGTTTCTGTGCCTCTGCTTCAGTATTGGTGAATCATCAATAAATGCTGAAATCAGATTTTTGCTTCTTTACAAAAAACAGCCAAATTTGGAGCAAATGCCATTCTGGGTGTGTCTTTGGCTGTTTGCAAAGCTGGTGCCGCTGAAAAAGGAGTCCCCTTGTATCGCCACATCGCTGATCTGGCAGGAAATCCAGAAGTCATCTTACCTGTACCGGTAAGGCTTTGTGCAGAGTTACAAACAAACATTTGGTTGTTTTATTGCTTTCATTCAGTTCACTGCAGGCCTCATTTCTCCCCTCACTACCTCAACCAGGCTTTTAATGTGATCAACGGCGGCTCTCACGCTGGCAACAAACTTGCCATGCAAGAATTTATGATCCTGCCCATCGGCGCCAGCACCTTCAAAGAAGCCATGCGCATTGGAGCCGAGGTTTACCACAATCTAAAAAATGTCATCAAGAAAAAGTATGGGCAGGATGCCACAAATGTTGGAGATGAAGGCGGCTTTGCTCCAAACATACTGGAAAATCAGGAGGGTAGGACACTGATTGTGTTAACGTACTTTAGATTTAATTCTGTTATTCCCTCAGAGGTTGAAGGGGGTAATAAAAAATAAAAAAACAATCCAAGTTGAGTGAAATGTAGAAGCAACTGAATATGGGAAATATAAGAGATAATGACGCATTTACTAAAAGTTTTTAAATTGTTGTAACCTTTCAACATCTGGAAAGAAGCAGGCCTCAAAACCAGAACAAATTATAAATGTGAGTTGAGGGCTAAAAATAACAAATTTGAATAATTGTTGAAAGGTGAATGAAACTTCTGGAAGGCTTAATGCCTTTTTAAGATAAGATATACTTTATTGATCTCACAGTGGAGTAATGAAATGATGAATCATCTCCCTTTTCATATCTTTTTTTTTACTTGCTGTTGGGAAACCTGCAGCTCTGGAATTACTGAAGGAGGCTATTGCAAAAGCAGGATACACAGATGAGGTCATTATCGGCATGGACGTGGCTGCATCTGAATTCTACAGGGATGGAAAATACGACCTGGACTTCAAGTCACCTGATGACCCAAGCCGTTACATCACTCCCGATGAGCTGGCTGATCTCTACAAGAGCTTTGTGAAGGATTATCCAGGTATACACTTGACATTTTAATGTATTTTTTTAGCACAAAGAAGTAAAGTTGGCATTTCGCTGAATGGTAGGATATAGGATTAGGATTAACTACTTACTCTGTGCTGTTAGCAAACACTGGTTTACAAGAAAAAATAATGCAATCTTTATCTCTTTTTTTTTTGTCTGTTCTAAATGTTTACGAAACATGAAAAGACGATAAAGCACTTGGATGAGCTCTTTTTTTGGAAGAAAAAAATGGTCTTAAACATCATACCATCTGTCGCATAGCTGATAGATTTGGGCAATAATATCTGAAAAATATTGCTGTCGTGAAAAATAATACAAATTGTGGTCCCGCTCTTCCCCACATCTAATGAACGTCTCCCATTATCAAAGGTCTAAATTATTGTGCAATATGTGGCCACTGCTGTCATTCTAAACCCAAAATGCCCACATCTGGACAGACTGTTACAAAAGCCCCTTTGGGCTGGTTTACAGCAGCTGTGTTGCATGTCCTAATTTTGATTTGGAATCTCATTCCAATATGTGAGAGGATGCCGCATGCACACCAGCTGTGCGATACACGCATGACTCCAAACACACTGCAACTGTGTGTGATCTGGGACCTCTGTGTGCAGGATGGGTTTGGAGGCCACACTGCTAAATAATTGTTGGTTGTTATTGGATCTCATTCAGTAGTGTGTGAACGGCTCTTGTGACACCACACCTGGAGCCCACTTTCTTCACTGAATCTTATAATCCTCTGATTATGCAGTCATGTCCATTGAGGATCCGTTTGACCAGGATGACTGGGCAGCCTGGACAAATTTCACTGGCAGCACAGACATCCAGGTTGTGGGAGACGATCTGACTGTGACAAATCCTACTCGTATCTGCAAGGCTGTGGAGGAGCAGGCCTGCAACTGTCTGCTGCTTAAAGTCAATCAGATCGGCACAGTCACCGAGTCGATGAAAGCGTAAGTCAGCACTTTTAAACCCGAGTTCACCAGAGGGACCTAAATGGTTGTTAATGTGTGCGAAACAAAATACCCCAACATTCACTGTCCTCAGAAATATATCCAACATTGATGCAATGTCAAAACAAACTGGACAGAATATATAACTCTGAAACATCTGTATGATAGTTTTTTTGTGTTTCCACTCTTCAGGTGTAAGATGGCCCAGGAGAGCGGCTGGGGGGTGATGGTTAGTCATCGTTCTGGTGAAACGGAGGATACCTTCATAGCAGATCTGGTGGTTGGGTTATGCACCGGACAGGTAACCTTATTTCAATGAGTGGGACTTTAAAAAAATGTTTTAAATGAAATATCCTATTACAGATGCATTCCTCAGACAGTGGATATGTGTTCGTGTTATACAACCAACCCCCTCACACTGCATAAATGCAGTCATGTATCAGTGATAAAGAAATCATGATGTTGACAAATATAGTAGAAAAGCTAAAATACTAAATGTTTTTCTCAACTAGATTAAGACAGGCGCTCCCTGTCGCTCAGAGCGGTTGGCCAAATACAACCAGATTTTGAGGTAAGTCCAAACCAAACTGAGCCATTTTTGGCTTGCTGTGTTTAAGACCAAAAGTAAAATGTAATTGTTTTATTTATGTTTTGCAGAATTGAAGAGGAACTGGGAGACAAGGCTAAGTTTGCTGGGAGAAACTTCAGGAAACCAGTTATTGAGTGAAGAAATGAATCGCATGTGGATTCAGAGATGTTGTGTGAAAATACATTAGTGCAATAATGATAAATGTAGTACTACTGACATACTGCCGGCCGTAATGAATTTACAGAGAATGTGTCGTCAAAAGCATAATTACTCCTCGTAATCAAGTGTTTTTATCTAAACTGGAGTAAAACTTGAAAAGAATAAAGCCACTTTGTTGTTTTAACAACTACTGCACTTGGAAAAACATAAAGTTTGATTAGTGACTAAATGTCTTTTGATTATTTTATGTATGAATGAGTTTCCTTTATGTGGGGAAGGGATTCAAAATGACCTCAATTGTATTTAATGAAGAATGTGCATTTAAATGTATCTGGAAAATACACCAATTTAAAGCACATCCTACAGTTAAGAGACTGGTGAAAAGTTTTCTTAAGAAATGCAGATTTTCCCTAAAAAGGTTCCCGGACAAAAAAAGTTGAGTGGGAATAATCTTTTCCCTATTAAAATAAGTTCTAAAACAAAACATTTAACACATTCTTTAAAGAAAATGTCACAGACATATTATCACATGGACAATTGTTTATCGTGGGACGCAAATTATATCTGAAAAAGTTATTTCCACAATAAATTTGAACCATTCTGTCTTAAATTGAGGCCTTAGGCAGAAGACGAATGATTCACCAGAAATACAGTCCGAATTTAGTTACAGGATTTGTCCGGTAGAGCGGCCTCTGTTGATGGTGATCGGTGCAATGTCTCGCATAACAATTAATGACCGCAACGGAACACATCGTGATGTGGATTGATTCATGGCCGCCCGCTCGGCAGCAGCTTGCGGCTCATGCCCGTCTCTCTACGCCCAGACAAGTTTGAAGGCTTTGCTTTGGCTGCTGAGGTCACTCCACAGAGGGACGGGGGAAAAAATAGAGCCAGTCCCTGCACTAAACCGCCTCCATTTTGAATAGCCATGTAATAGAGGATTCGCATAGTTAGTGTGTATGTGTGTGTATGTGTGTGTGTGTGTGTGTATCGCCCACTGCGCTGCGTAGTGTCAACAAGCCACATCCAAACATCCTCCGACATGGACGACCTGTTCAGTCCGCGCAGGTAACTTCAGCAACTTACCGTGTGCATTTATCCTGCACTTAAAGTCAAGTTCTTCCGGGGGTGCTTACTCGTGCTTTGCAGCGACACTTTAAGAGCCGTTTACGTGAAATAATCGGAGTGTCAGTGGTCACGAAGTTCGTGTGTGGCTAACAAGCTAGCCAAATAACAGCGTTCGGTTGACACTGCCTCGTTAGCAGCTAGCAGCTTCTGCTGGCAAAATGCCTCTCAGATAGCTGTAATGTTAGCAACACTTATTTACCTACCCATGTTTTAACTAGTGTTAATGGACCACGAAATCGTCAAATATAGTTGGCAAACCCATTTGACAAATGTAATGTTGATTACACTTTGGGCTTTACGTGTAATAATGGGTCGTTGCTTGTGTATGTCAACATGTAGTGAATGCTAACCTTGACATTTATTATCGATCGCGTTCATTTAGTGCAGGTTAACTATGTGGGGCACGTATTCTGCAAACGTTACTGTCAGCCTATTCTGATGTCCGATGAGGCACACACTGTTCTCGTAATGGTGACCGTAAAAATTAGCAGCTCCTGCATGATTGATTGACAGTGTTTTGCGGCCGCTGTAGCGTCGGATTTCATTCATGTAATGTAAAGAACCGCGTGCTGTGATTGGCTGGTGGAGGCGGGGGGGCGGGACGAGGCCCGCAGCTGAAATCAGTGCAGCCTGTGGGAGGGAAGCCGCTCTGACAGGCCACACAAACACATATTGATCTTACGCCTGTCTGCGGACTCGACAGCGTTAATTACACAATAATTAGCTGTACTGCAGCCAGGCCATAACCGCTAAGTTCAGTGGGTTTGGGTTCATCCTAACCCGTATGCTGACGATCAGTGCGGCCAAACGGCATTTAACAGATTGCATGTCTGTTTCCTTATCGTTCAGGAGCCTGAACAGCACGCAGGGCGAGATAAGAGTGGGACCAAGTCATCAGGTACATTTCTGATTCTACTGAACTATTGTTCTTCTTTTATAACGACTTTACAAAAGGCAGTACGAGAATGACCCAAAAAGAAAAAAACTGGATGAGCTCTTGATTTATGTTAATCTGTGGTTTTGCAAAGTTTTCCTTCCCTATTTTAAAGTTAGTCAATAAAGACAGTTTTTTCCCTATTTAAGTTTTTGAATGTTTCAGTGATGCTGTAATGTTGACCGATCCTCACTTAACAAGTGAACTAATATAAACACATTTTGCAGTTTGACGTTTGTAGTTGGACTGAATGCATAAGACATCTTTTAGTTATGACAGAAATACGGTATATTACTCCCACAACTGATTAATCTAAATTCTTAAACCATATCACAAGCATTTCAAGCTTTTAATACACTAGTCTAAAGTAATATGTTTTTTTAACTTCTCGTGTGGTTTTGAAATGCTAATCAACGTTTTTCAATGGAGACAAGTTGTGATTTTTTTGGTGTAACTCGTCTGCAGGCCAAGCTCCCAGAGTTGCAGCCATGGCCGGCAGTTGGTGCTCAGACTCAAACGGAGAAGGAGGAGCTCATGTGGACGCCAGGAGTCAATGACTGTGACCTTCTCATGTACCTCAGGGCGGCCAGGTCAGTGTCTGTACTTAATCAGACCTTTTACCTTTCCTGAAATATGACAGAATAAGAACTTTTTTTTGAGAATATGAAACAGCTAACATGAAGGAATAATCGTTGTCATTTGTACTTACTTGTCGCTTCATCTTATCAGAACGCGATGTTAGTTTATATAGTTTATATAAAGAAAAAAAAAGAAGCAGAAGAATTTGACCTTATTGTGCTAATGCTCCTGTTGCTGTGCTGATATTTTAGCTGGGTGCACTTCACATTTGAAAAATATAAAATCAAACTAAGAACAAAAAAAAAAGAGACTTGTAACCAACAAACTAGATTATCTTCCCAGCAAAAGTGCAATCCTTGCGTCTTGTTGATCAAGTGGTGCTTGGTGTATGTGTATTTTCCTTAATTGTCAAATTCTTCAAAGTTCTTAAACAAGTAAGACGTTGGAAATGGGCTGCTGCCTTTTCCCACAGCTGCTAAACATCACAGTCTGAATGCTTCAATGGTATGACGATCAACAGTCTCTCTTCTGTACTCTAGAATCCAGAGGCTGAAGCATTTTGGAGTCACTGCAATTTCTGTTAATTATTTGTTAAATCTAATAAATCTGATACATGAATGTTTTCATTTTCAAGGAGCATGGCGGCATTTGCAGGCATGTGTGATGGTGGATCCACTGAGGATGGATGTTTAGCAGCCTCCCGCGATGACACCACCCTCAATGCTCTCAACATGGTGGGGAGCACTACTTAAACTGTCATTTTTTAGTATTGGTGAAATACGATTTTACTGTAATGTAAATTTACAAAAAAAACAACTATTTTTTCTTAACTCCAGCTCCATGCAAGCCATTATGATGCAGCGAAAGCTCTCCAGCGTCTGGTGAAGAAGCCCCTGCCCAAACTTATAGAAAAATGCTGGTCAGAGGATGATGTGGTGAGACTCGGTTTTTACTACAGAGCAGCCACTCCTTGTAACAGGGCCAAAGATGAGGATGGGGCAGTTTTCCACTTTACTGGCTGTAATTGGTGATGGTAGATGAGGGTTAGAGCTATATTTTGTCCAAAATGTTTTGCTTTATTTGCACAGTAACACAAACCACTGCTGGAAAAGCAGTGAACGGAACCACAGTTTAACTTGTAATGATTTATTACGTGCCTAATCATTTTAGTGTCACTTGTGTTTTAAAATATTGACAAGTATGGATGTATTGATGTTTTTTTATCTAACAACTAAATTTCACCTCATTTTTTTCGACCGTCCAACAGAAACGCTTCATCAAAGGTCTGAGACAATATGGAAAGAATTTCTTTTGCATCCGTAAAGACTTTCTGCCCACTAAGAAGACTGTGAGTGCATGTTTCTCTGTTGCCTTCTGAACGGTTTCAATGTGCATTTTACGGGTTGTTGCTATGCTTTTCTAGATCTGGACTTTCGGAAATAAAGTTAACAAAAATAATCTGTCTTCTCGTAACCAGGGAGAGCTGATCACCTTCTATTACCACTGGAAGAAAACCCCAGAGGCGGCAGGAACACGGGCTTATCGACAGCAGCGACGGCAGCCGTCCTCCCGCAAAGCAAAGACTCGATCTGCACCGGCTCCCGACAACACCACATCCAGGAATTATTCAGGTGAGCTCCCTTTAGTGTGACTCAGAAGTGCTACGCTGTCTGTTTATTGGACCAAAGGTATTAGATGTGGAGATGTGGCGGTCCTGCTGCGTAAGCTGACTCTTTCTTCTGCAGTGGATGCAAGTTCTGCCAGTGAGGATGATCTTGACAGCGAAGACAGCGAGCATGACATTAAGAGCTGCAACCACTGTGGCACAACAAGTGAGTTTTAGCTGCTAACCTGATTTAGCGTGCGGTTGGGAAAGGGGCCTCATAGAGTTTTGGAGACCTGGGTATTTAAAACTCTTGTTCTCGTAAAAGGTTCCAAGGATTGGCATCAAGCTGGGAGAGACAACCGCTTGCTGTGCACGGCCTGTCGCACATACGAGAACAAACATGGATGTCTGCCGCCAGCCTCTAAAACTGCAAACGGCTCATTCATGTTCAAACCCGTAAAAGCAGAAGAAGAGATGAACAGCAAGCATGGCATGAGGACTCGAAGGAGTAGAGTACCTGTAAGCCCGAGGCTGGAACATGAGTAGTGCAGCCATCTTTATTTGTAGGAGGGGGAAAAAAAGACATGTGCTATTGTGATTTTACAGATAAATGGGCACAAGATAAGGAAAAAGCTTTTTGAAAAACACACCATGTTTTAACATGAATACTGGTGACTGTTTTTAAAGCAGTTGTCATCTTTAAGAAGTGGCCACCGGAGGCTGACAGGGTCCCAAACCCGGGAGGACCAGCAGTCCAACAACCACTCCTCTCTGGGTGGAGCAATCTCTACTTCCTTGAGATCGTCTTCTGCAGATAAGAACAACTCCACAAAGAGAACAAACAGGGTAAAGAACAGATACTCATTATTGAAGATTGACTTAATTAATGTGCATGTGCAGATGAATTCCCTGTTAAAATACAAACTCTGCGAACCCTGAAGTTATTGTCGTGTTTTGTTGATGATTAACAGTAGTGTGTAATGACATTCTTCCACAGAAGGTAAAAGAGGAAGTTACGATGCCAAAGACAACCAAACGTGTGCGGGAAAGTCCGGCTCTGGAGCCCGACGAGCCTGAAAAAATGAAACATAAAAGGCCCAAAACACAGGTGATAGAGTTGCCACATAAGAAAAAATACCATGTACTCAAGCAAAAATGTAGATGTGTCAACTTTGGAAAAATTTGTGTTTTCTGAGAACTCATCAAATGCTTTGCTGGGTTTTTGCTGAACAGCGATTCTGAATCGGGGTTTGTTCACTGCTTTAGGATTCACAGAGCTCCCGGTCAGAGGCTGAGGCAGAGGAGGAAAGCTCTTCAGAAAGCCGCAGCGCACAGGACGATGCCAGTGACACCAAAGACATTGATCAGGACAACCGGAGCTCCTCTCCCAGCATTCCCAGCCCCCAACAGGGCAACGAGAGTGACTCTGACTCCTCCGCTCAGCCCATCGGGGCTCCGTCTGAGCCTCTGGCTCCTGCCCCTGTGTCGGCTGAAACACCGGTCCTGCAGGCCCTCCCCTCTCAGGTCCCCCCCAACACCCTACAGCTACCACAGAGCCTATCTTCGGCTGATCCAGCTCAGAGCCTCCCTCCAAACTCTCCAGAGCCCCCTCAGCAACCTGCGGGTCAGACAGCAGCCCTGATCGGGCCGGGCAGCCGAGCACAGTCTGGCTCCCACTCTGTGACGGGCCCACGGCCTCAGCCATCAACGCTGGGTCAGGACGCTCCTCATTCTCCAGTTTTTCACATCCCACCTGCCCTCAACTCCGCACAGCCACATGGCCTCTCACCTCAACCCCCCCAGCGCCCCCCAGCCTTCTTCAAGGAGGCACAACTCCCCCATCCTCCTCTCACTGGCCCCCAGATCAAGCCTCCTCCCACCACCCCTATTCCACCTTCACACAAACAGCTGCCACACCAATCCACTGCACCTTTCCCTCAAATGCCCTCTAATCTCCCCCCTCCTCCTGCTCTAAAGCCCCTCAATTCTCTGCCCAACCAGCATCCTCCGGGTGCCCCTCCTCCTCCCCTTCAGCTCATGCCGCATCCTTTACCAGCACATTTAATTCCAACCCAACTTCCTGTGATCTCTCAGGCGCAAAATCACCCTGGAAAAAGCCTGACTTCTTCCCACCCCCCAGCTGCCGCCACCCACCCTCTCACCTCAGCCACACCGTCTGCAGTTAGCCCTGTCCCCAGCCTCCAGCCTTCCTTCCCAACCCTTCCTGTCAGACCAGCGGCAAATGCCACTGCAGGAGGATCCCAAATTCAGATTAAAGAAGAGCCACTGGATGAGATAGAAGAGCCTGTGAGCCCGCCGTCTCCACCCCGGAGCCCCTCACCAGAGCCCACTGTCGTCAACATGGCAAGCCATGCCAGCCAGTCAGCACGGTATGTTTGAAGTCACTGTCATATAACAAATGGCTTACGTTCTCATTTCTGTTATTGCTAATAATGCTGTTATTAACTATAAACTTTAGCAAAAAGAGAGTAAATGTGCTTTTGACCAAATATTTCTATGTTAGGGAGTAACCTCAGTGACTGTTTACATGTTTCGTGTATTTAACTGGATTATTTTGTGTAAAAGAGTTTGACGTCACATGATCACAAATCTCGTTTTTTCAGATTCATCAAACACTTGGATCGTGGCTACAACTCATGTGCGAGGACGGATCTTTTCTTTACTCCTCTGTCGTCCTCCAAACTTGCCAAGAAAAGAGAAGAGGCTGTGGAAAGGTCCAGGAGAGAAGCTGAGCTCAATGCTCGGCAAGAACGTGAAAGAGAGAAAGACCGAGAAAGGGAGAGAGAACGAGAGTGTGACAGAAATTCCGTGAGTGGCTTTATTTACCTAACATTTTTTTTTATTTTAGACTTCTTTCCATCTTTGCTATCTCACACTTTTTATCTGCCTCTAGAGAACCTCCAGTTCCTCGCACGACAGTCGCATGAATGAGGTACAGATGACAGCTCAGGGCCACGGACGCCCCTCCTTCGAGCAGCCCCCCACCACCGTTGCAGCCGTGCCGCCCTACATCGGCCCGGATACATCAGCCCTGCGCACCTTGAGCGACTTTGCGCGACCACACGTCATGTCCCCCAACAACCGCAACCATCCGTTCTACGTGTCCCTGAGCCCCGGCGACCCCCTGCTGACCTACCACATGCCTGGCCTGTACAGCGCAGAGCCCAGCCTCCGAGAGCGAGAGCTGAGGAACCTCAGAGAGAGAGAGCTCCGGGAGAGGATGAAGCCCGGCTTCGAGGTCAAACCCCCAGACCTGGAAACCCTGCACCCCTCAGCCAACCCCATGGAGCACTTTGCCAGACACGGGGCTCTGGGTCTTCCTCACATACCTGGGCCTCCTCACCCTTTCGCGCCCTTCCATCCGGGGCTGAATCACCTGGAGCGGGAAAGGATGGCGCTGGCGGGGCCTCAGCTGCGCTCGGAGCTGAGTTACGCCGAGAGACTCACCGCAGAGCGGCTTCACGCTGAGAGGATGGCTTCTGTGGCTACCGACCCCGCTGCCCGGCTGCAGATGCTCAATGTGACCCCTCATCATCACCAACACTCGCACATTCACTCCCACCTCCACTTGCACCAGCAGGACCCCCTCGGCCAAGGTGAGGCCAACCGATCAGCAGTATTTCAATCTGAAAACGACCTGCGTTTGCTTCATGTCTCATTTTCTCACACAGGTTCAAGTCCACATCCTCTTGTGGATCCTTTGGCAACAGGGCCTCGTTTGGCCCGATTCCCTTTCCCTGGGGGCCCAATTCCTAACGCTTTGCTCACCGATATTCCTCACGATCACGAGATGCTGCGTCACCCGCTGTTCGGTTTGTAATCTAAACTCTTGCTGCCGCTTGGCTCCTGTGTGCATTGTGGACTCACTGTATTCTGCATTTGTGGCTTCCACAGGTGCTGCTTATCCACGAGAGCTGCAGGGTCCCATCCCTCAGATGTCAGCCTCTCATCAGCTCCAGGCCATGCACGCTCAGTCTGCAGAGCTGCAGAGGATGGCCATGGAGCAGCAGTGGCTGCATGGGCATCACCTGCACGGAGGTCCCCTACCCAGCCAGGAAGATTACTACAGGTGAGGCCTTCTGAGGTATTTCAAGTAAGTGTTTCATGAAAGATTACAGTGTCAACATTAATTACATGCCATGTATTATTTGGGAATTGAAACATGAATGAAGGAACTGTTCCTACAAGCATCTCAAAACAGCTAAACGCACTCCCAGTTCTGTAAAAATGAGTTTTGTGTCAAATTTTAATGGAACTGTAGAGCCAGAAGGTTCAGCCCTTGGCTGTTCTGTCAGTGGGAAGGAGCCAAAATGTGAAGTTAAACACATGAATATGACACAGACCGCTGTCTTTACTCGCCTTTATTTTTGTCTTTTTAAGCCGTCTGAAGAAAGAAGGTGACAAGCCATCTTGAGGTGGTGCATGCTATGAAATCTTACTATTAAAATTAATACTGTGTACTTTTAAAACTGTAAGAGAATATTTTGAGTGTCTTTTTTTTGTTTGTTCGTGCTAATATATTTTAGAGAAATATTTGTGGATTCATATGTGCATTCCTTGTTGAGCACTTAATGATACTGTCAGAGATTTTCCTATTACTGAAGAATTTACACTAATTTTATTGTCAGAATAATGAACATTCAACTACAGACGTGGTAGGTTTTCTTTAATCAACTCTTAAACTGTTTCATATGCAGTCAGAAACAAATGGACTTTGGTGTGGACTTAAATATCCTTATAATGATTTTTAAAAGATTTTCTTGTACAGAATGACAGTTAAATCAATGTGTGGATGATAGTGATGACCTCGCATGACTCACCCTTCAGTTTTCACAAAGCTATAGTAGCAAGTTACATTGTGGCATTAGGCTTTGGAAGTTTAGTAGAAGTTGGATTTATCCCTAAGTCTGCTAAATATTTGTTGAAATTCTAAAATTTTATATATCAAGATATGTTTTCACAGTATAACCGAAGCTTTTACTCCTTTGTTTTTGAGACTGTAAATATTATATATTCACAATACTCCATATGAATGAGTACTATTGATATATCTGTAGATGTACACATTTGACCCTTGATTCAGCACGAGAACAGTAAATCATAAGCAAAAAATAGTTTATAGTATTTTAGGAGGTGCGATAGTGATATGGATCGTGGTCGATCTCTTCTCACAGAAAGTTACATTAGGAAAATGTATTTACATTGTTTTCACAAGAATTACACAATTGGAGTTGAACAAAAATCTGGAGTTTAAAAAGAACTGCCTGAATTCAGTATTTATGTGATATAACACCAAACTGTATCCACAGCATATTTATTTCAATAAATAATTCTGCTTTACTACATATTCTCCTCATTTTTGCAAAGGCGTGGTCAGCTGACGGTTGATTCGACTCTGTTAGTGTAAAATGTATATTCAGATTTTTTTAGATTTCAACTTTCAAATAGCAGTTCAGCTCAAAAGCTAGGCTGCATCTTTCACTTTACCAAGGCAAATGCAAAGAGCTCAGCACAAAGAATAAAGCCTTTACAAATTTTCACCTTAAAAAAAAGAATGGCAAAACTTAAATCAGCCTGTACCATAATTACTTGAGTTTGAGGAAGAGCTGGAATTAAGCTAAATTAATAAACCTATTAGACTGTTTATTTTGCCGAAGATAAAACTAACGGCAGAAGGACTAACAACTTGAACAATGTATTTAAGATTTATATTGATTTGCACAGTTATGTTTGTGCCTGAAATTTGGTTCATACAGAGTTGACATAAACTTCAACCCATTTTCATTATGATTATTGTTACAATTAATTGAAAATGTTTTGAATATGAAATCTGATATGCACACAAAACAGATATTTGTATAGTTTTTATCACACTTAACAATTCATGTGAAAAATTATTTGAGAAAAAAAAACGTTGGTTTGAGTAATGATTACACTTTGAACAATTAGTCCAGTGGGAGCAGATATTTGAGACAAGAACAAATGTAAAAGTCCACCTTTACATTTTACATGTAATACAAGCTACAAGCTTTGCTTGTATGTCTTAGAAGTCCTGACAGAAATCCAAAAGGGTTTAAGTGAAACTGCAAAAGTCTTTTTAGGCCAATCTGAATAAACTCTGCTTTTAACATATGTTTATTTTACTAGCCTCACATCTGATTAAAACCATGACCCTGTATTATTCTGCATATTCTGCAAGTAGGCAAAAGTCTTCAGCAACCAAAAAACAAAAGAAAAAAGTTACAGCTATTACATCAGCTTTCCACTTTGCATAGGTTATATACAACAATTTTTTTTTACATTTTCCTGTAATTCTTTGCAGACAGGTTTTGATTTAATGCCTTTTTAAGGGATGCTTTCATGGAAAAAAAATCAAATCTACAAAGATAGTGAAGTGAAAAAAATCAAGTCAAAGTCATGCTGCTGCACGTATTCATCAAATTTGTATTTAACCCCCTAAATGTGATCTTGTGCCACTAATTACTTTCAGATGCTTCAACATTTGTTAGATAAGGCCGCATATGTACATATGATGAAAAGATAACGGTAAATATGTGCAGCTGTTCTTAATGGCTCAGGTTTCTCCAGTACTACCCAAGCTCAACCGATTCAGGAATCTGTCTGTCCACAGTACCACAAAAAGCAGCACATGCCACTGAAGAAAAAGGGCGGGGGAGGAAAGGAAAAAGCCAGGAGGCACGTGAGAGAATTGCAAAATATGTATAAGTTCTCGGGCCAGATGGGACCAAAACTGACTGTTTGGCCATCAAAGAAAACAGTATATCTGGTAAAAAAAACAAAACAAAAATAACAACAAACAAATAAAACAACACATCATCACTCCAAGGATGTCTCTATCCGGTTTATGGCTTCTAAGTTAATTCCTGCTACTTATGACTAAGGACTTCATTCCCGAGCATCCTATAAACGTTCATATGTCCTGTAGCTTCTCAAAGAAAAATTGTTTATCATTTACTCTAATATTTAGCATGCCGATGCCACTCAGGGGTGTCCAGTTCGTCTGTAAGTATTTATGTCAGGCTCTCTAAACAGACTTTTGTGTAATGAAGGAACGTATAACTTTTTGCATTGGAACAGAGAAGCTCTATGGCACAGAGGAATTGGATACAACAGACTTTACAGAAAACTTCACAAACATGTCATCAGGAATTTCATAGTATGTATAGTAGTTATGTTTCTGTGGATGGACCCTTGTGAAAATGTTTGGAAATGATGTGTGTACATGTCAGGGGTCGTCTGGAGGATGGTTCTTCCTCACATACTGCCTCAGGTATTGGATGGCAGAGAGAGCACTCACGTTCGCCAACAGAGCTGCAACGTCAGCAGAAGTTAGTTAGAACTGGGGTTCAATTCAACAGAACTTGCTCTTCACCCTTGAATAAATCATGATACCGTATTACTATGTTCTGTCAATATGTTTCAGAGTTATTTAAGAAAACATTCATACCTGCTTTCCAGGCATCAGCAGCCTCCGGATCAGAGGATCTTAGTACCCAAGAAGCAAAAGCAATACAGACTAAGCACATGTCTGACTGCTTCACGGTGGAGAAGATGCCTTCTCGTTCTGAGAAAGACACAGGGAGGAAATATTGTCTTTCTAACATAAAAGTTGGAAGGCTATTAACTATAAATCACCACAAAGGTTCAAAGGTCATGTAAACACTAACACAGCTCATTCAGATTAGTAAAGATGTTTTACAAATGTTTTATCAGAATCTGGACATTTTGAGCAGTAATTATTATTTTGACAGTGAAACATGTTTTCTTTTGTGGCTTGACGGCTGATTTCAGTGGCTTCTAGTGTTGGGTCTCTTGCTTTTTATATTGTCTTATTATTCCCTTTTTCAGTGGACTGAGTGTTGTCATAATTGGTGCACATGATTATGACAACATGGCTCATAATGTCATTCAGTTCATGACTGAACTGAATCAGATGCTCCAAAATGCTTAAATATCAGGTAACTACTGTTTTACTTGAAAACATATTCTTAAATTTGTTTTTTTTTCTAATCTTATAGGTTGTTTCTATATCATTCTAAATCTAATTTGATTTCCTTTTGAATTGCATTTTACATAGCATATAATAGTTCTGTTTGTTTGCTTCAGGTTTTCTTGCTCCTGATGTGGTCAAAGCTCTTACTTACTTGTTGTTTGAAAAGTGTCTAAAATCCTTTGGTGCTCCTCCAGCTCTCGGTACACCGGAGAAGAGGTAGTGCAGACTCTGCTCTCACCGAGCACAGCTACTGTCGGAGTCTCTCCCCTGATCTGGATCTCCTCACTCTTAATTGGGAACGTCCAGGCGCCGGAGCCTCTGCACCAGATGCTGCCTTTGTCGTGGAAGTGAATCTTCCTCAACGACAGCAGATTTTTCGAGCTCCAAGATCCACCCGCTGCTGAGGATCTGTGCAGATAGGCCTGAATGAAAGAATGAGATGCGACTCTGATTGGAGAGATTTCCTCCACTTTATCACCGTTTGCTCTGAAAACGTAGTTATGTTTTGGGAATGTGAGCTCTCTGACAGTAGGATGAGAGCAGGAGAAAATGGGGATGGGTTTCTCTATGCTGCAGTGGAGAGAATAGGATGATGCATCCTCTCCAAGTGTGGTGAGAGGGAGGTCAAAGACAGGAGCCACTGATATGTCCTCTGGATCATAGAAAGTAACAAACTGGGAAGTTGCTGTATCCTCTGTGAAAAAGTACTCAAACATCTCTGGGAAGGATACTTGGTAACCTGGATCCAGTAAGTCTGTGTAGGATAGAGATGCAGAAATGAGCATTTCCAGGCTGCGTGTGTCTTTAATGTCAGATTCTACCTCCTGAAGCGACAGGCTGCTGAGAGTCGAATCGCTCTCGTTAGTGCCACGTAAAGAAGGAAAAGATACGTCCAGAGTGTTGAAAGCATGCACATTGTACATACTGCAGCTTTTTCTCATTCCTCTCGGCCCCAAATCCAAAGTGTGGGCCACCTGGGTGTCCAAAACTTGTCCTAAAAAGTCTTCTAGAGGCACAGGCGTCTCTGTTCCTTCTGAGCATGTGGAGTCATTCTCATATAACAAGAGAGAGGGGTCGTTCTGGTCGTTTTTTTTACCGCGATGGTCAGGGCTGTGGTTCCTACTGGTGCTAACAAACTGCCAGTGTTCTTCTTCAAAATCTGAGGCAGAAAGCTCGCAGCTGGAGAGGTCTGGCTTCGACTCATCGGTCTGTGTGAAGTAGTCTGAGTCTGCAGTGTCAGAAGTGTCCATTAGACCACCGTCAGACAGATCATACACCACTGTTGGAAGATCACCTGCGTCTGGCGTTGGCGTCTCTCCCATTTGTCTTGCATTGTTCTTGCATTTGTCTGAGTCACCCATCCTGAGCTTCAAAATGTCATTGATGGTCAGTTTTTCCATTTCATCCCAAAAAGCAGAAATGGCGTAAACAGGTCGGGCGTGGCCTGCCGCTTTTGCGTATGTTTCTGGGCTGTCAGCCACGGGGCAAAGCTCCATAGTCGTATCAGGAGCCTGGACGGTGGCCAGCTGCTCTCCCTGAGAGTAAGCAGATGCTGTTATGGATCCAGGTGTTTCTGAGTGTGTGTCATGTGTGTCTTTATTCGGCATTTCTATGGCGTCCTGGCTGGCAGAGGAGAGTGTGATGGAGGGGCCAGGGCTGGTGCGTTCATGGCCGTCGCAGTTTGCGGTTGCTACGTCGCTTGAAATAGGGCTTCCACAAGAATACACCTGTGTGTCCAGTGCATGGTCAGGGTCTGTGTCCATGTTTGTGGAGCTGAGGTGGGAGGTTTCGCTCAGGTGCTCTTGGAAAAGGCACTGAAGTTCCTCTGCTGTTTCGGGAGCTGACAAATAGGCCTCAGAGTCATTACTGTGAATGGAGAGGAACTCTGCGCTGTCTTCGAGGTCACTGCACCGCACAAACTCCGGCTGAGAGGGCGTAAATGCGTGTGGCGATGTGGACGGTGATATATCTAGCTCACATTTGCTTTCGTCGATCACTGCCTCGAGAAAATTCTCTTCGAGAGGACGGGGGCTCGCCAGATTTTCTGACAAATTTGAAATGACTTGAGCATAATTTATTTCATGACCTGGAAGTCCCTCTGATTGTTTAGTTTGGTTTGATACTGCACCTTTTCCTCCCTCGGGTTCAAGCTTATCATTCATCTCCTCATCTTCACCTGAGCTCTCCGGCTTGAGGCAGAATGTACGATTCCCTTCACAGTGTTTTTTTTGTTTGCGTTTTTTTTTCGAACAGCCAGAATGGCCTCGCTGTCCGGTGAGATTGTCATTGACTGTTACAAACCAGCGCTCTTTCTCTGGCCTCACAGCTCTCTCAGCGCTGTGTTGCTCGTTTGCGCTCTGTCCTGTTTGGGAACATAAAAGTGGGTCAGGTTCATTGGCGGATTTGAGATCACTCTCTGTTTGCAGATCTCCTTTGTGTGTCTGCTCTTTTGTCCCTCCCGAGTCCATTTGAAGCGTGTTTTTACAGCTACTGCTCGTCTCTGCGTCTTCTCGTCTTTTCTCCATGTGCGCTGTCTCTGTGTTAACGGCATCTCCTCCAGGATTGCTAACACACATTTCCAACTGTTTCCCACCTATTGCAGTGCCATCCACAGTTCCTGTAAACTGCTCTTGCAGATCTCCACAAACACTGAAACTCTCTCTCTGCTGCTCTTGAGCATGGCTGTCCGCTTGGAAGCATCTCGCTGTGTCCGGTTGGGCTTCTCTGAAGTCTGAAGTTGGATTTTCTGAATCGTCTGAGTCACTGAGGCCGGAGTCATCGGGGTAGGCCAGCAGCGGCTGCAGCAGAACGCACTCCTCGCTTTCATCATAAAAACTGCTCCAGTCATACTCTGCAATGTGGATACTGTGATCCAAGTCATCCATTCTGACACCTCACATGCTCTTCAATCTGATAAAGAAAGAGAAGACACAAACTTATCTTTTGGAAGGTTTGCATAATCAAATGCCTTAAATAGTCTCTTGCAATGTGAGGCAGTGCTTGCCTGGTCTCCCAGGTGAGTTATATTTATTACACCGACATATTAGAGCCAAATTTAGAACATGTGCAATTGTCTGCAGCTTGACATTAACCATCACAGCTGCACAGACCTATGAGTTCAACGTTTGAGTAAGTGCAACAGAGCAATAGCAGAGTACGGCATTCACAGGCAAGACCTCAAACTACCCCTGCTCTGCTTGTGGAAAACAGGTCACATGATCTGATGTAAAAACAGTCAGCTGTCTTATGTCCAAAATATCCCCGTAAAAACATGCACATATACGCTGTTGTTTGTTGAAGTCATGAATTTAGCGAAATTCCATGAACAAATGACAACATATACAGCATAAAAGTGTTTAAAAACGTGTTCATTAGGATACATTGCACATTTTCAAAATCCTCACATTTTCTGCAGAGCAGTTTAAACTAAAGGCTGAGGAGCCATCAGGACTTTTGTTTTGATGTTCAGTACCGACGGACTCGCTACACTCATCAAAGTCATTAAAGGTCTTGCTCTGTAAGAGAGTATAAGCTCAGTTTTAGACATTTTTTCCACGCATTTCAGTCCTAAAGGAGAACCTACCGGCTGCAGGGGGACGAATCCTCCACTTTGAAGGTGACTATAGAGTTTTCCTGTGGGGACGTTTCAGCGTTGATGTCCATCTGTCCTTGCATATGTCAGACTGGGCCCTCACTCTCGGCTGTTATAAATAGAGTAGTATGTCCTGTCACATGTAACTGCCTGTGCCAATGTCCTTCCCTCCATTACCAGAGGTATGACATTTCAGTCCCCCAAAATACAACCTTTCACAACAACAGTAATGATCATAAACCACTTGCTACCACATGATGGAAATTCAGGAATTTATTAATACTAATTTATGCATACTACCATGGGATATTTTCACTTTGGAATTTCCTAATTAATGTAGTTTACATAGTGACATCAAATAAAAATAGCTCATTTTCCAACAGAAATATGCTTGTATTGAATAGCTTTTACTGTATCCATTGTGCAACACTTTGGTTATTCTCAGTGTTTCAGTATTTGGTAACGTATCAGTAGTGCTGTACCATTCAAGTCAAGAATATTTTAGTTTCTGTAATGTTTAAAAAAAAAAAAAAATCATTCTAAAGTATGAGGAATTCTCCGTTTAAGTCTGAAAAGTAAAGTAACTATTTTACTCAAAAATCCCTATGAAGACTGCTGAGCCTACAGCTCTGTTTCAGTGTCAGATGTTAACCAGTCCTCCAACATTCCCACATACCACTCTGATAACATCTGTGGGAGGCAGGCACAGCCCCACCTAAACACCCACAGGGACCTGAGCACTTAGGCGGCGTGAGGCACATCTACTCCAACAACCAGCTCATTATGGAAAGGTGCTTTATTTGTGTAAATTATACATACATCTTCTCAACTTTCTTCATGGCACTCAGACTGGAATATGTGCATCATTACAAAAACGATACAATCGTATAAAACAATATATACACATTTATTTATCTTTTACTTGTCAATACATCATTAAATGCATGAAGTTAAAAGGAATATTTGTGGAATGACTGCTGCCGTTTTTTTGGATTATTTCAGATTGGTCTGTATGTACTGAAAATGGACGACTTTTTTTTTGTGTTTCCAAGAGTAAAAACATACCTACAAATTAAAAGAACAAAACAACCTAAACTCAATCACAGTATGAAAAAAACACAATACCACTTACCAAATATAGCGTCTTTAAGATTGTAGATAAAGGCCACTGGATAAAATTCTTTCAGATGCCAGTTTTAATTAATTTCTTGGGACTTAAAGCTTCCTGACTGGGTTTGGAGCTCCCAATGGCACAGCTGTCACAGTATGGCATATTACAGTGACAGCCATTTTCATAGGTAATTTGGCAAAGGCAATGTTTGTCAAGTCGTATTCTTAATGCAACAACAATTCATCATTATACACAACAAAAGCAAATAAAATCTAAATCACATTTAATGGCAACAAGTTATTTTGAGTATTTCCTCTAAAAATCTGTTCATCATTGGCTCCAGGCCTCAGAGAAGTAAAGTGCACAATAATTTGTTAGTTTTAGGTTAGAGGAAATGTTTTGCAGATGAAAGCTTTCATATCTGAGTGGGCTTGCTTCTGGAATGCAAGTCATCGCACGTACTCCTGTGGCGTGCACGTCGTTGGATGTGTGAAATACATTCATCTTTGTTGATCACAAAAATAATAAATACAACGGTAACTGTAAAAGTTCAAAATGCATTCAGAGAAATGTTTTTCACTACGCCTGCTGTTACCCTCCTCAGTGTGTTCACAGAAGAAGACATCTTTAACTTTGCTGGCTTTTCATAAGCAGTGAAACTCAGTGCACGGTTACAAAATCCAAATAAATAACACAAACATAAAAACATCCGTATTAGCTTACAAATGTCCGCCGTGTCGCACAGCTTCATAAATTAGCTTGTCTTAGCCTTAGCTTAGTGAGGATAGACTGGAATAAATTAGAATGAAAATATGGGCAGGCTGACTGTTTTCCTCTCATTTAAAGCTAAGCTGACAGGCCTCTTCTGACTGTAGCCTCGTCATTTCCTTGCACACTGAGTGGTATATATCACCTCTGTGGCACTAAATACATTCATAGAACCCATCATTTAAATTTAAAGAAACAGGATATTATTAACCATTTATCCTCCAGTCCCCCCTGCTTTTTATAAATATGGAAAGAGTTTGGGTTCCAGGGCAAGCACTTAATTGCGAGCGTTTAGACCAAAAACTGGATCCGAACCTGAAAATAACCTTTTCTCAGCTGGAGGCGAAAAATAGATGGTCTAATGCGGTGGGCGAAATGTGACCTACACAGTGGAAGAGGATCCACAACGCCCTCCATTCAAGGCACATCCTTAATTCCAGTGATCCTGAATAGAACCGGTTCAACTAACAGAGCCAATGTTGTGGACGAGAGGTTCACAATTACCTTCTCCTGAGCGACCACAAATGAAAATGAAAATTTTCACAGTTGATTTAGAGCATAATGAAGACTGACAGGTTAGTAGTGGATACTGATCTCTCCCAGCTCCATTCTTTGATTAAAAAACGGGAAAAAGCAGCAGCTCTATTGACTTGTATGAAGCAAAGAAGCTGTTGCGAAATTTGGCCACCGTTTCCACAGTCAGCTGGTCTTCTCTTAATCTCTACAACTTCACATCTTGAGGAAACTGAACATCGTTCCTGAGCTTTCTCTCCTACCAGCACCGTCCCCCCCTTCCTCTAGACATTGTAGACTCGAGTTGTGGCTGACGTGGGTATGGTGGCGCTGTTTAGAGTTGATTTTGCAGAGGGACGCTCCCTTCTGACATATCTTGGCTTCCTCACTGAAAAAGAAAACACATTTAGAAAAAAAGAATCAAATACATTTTGATAGCTTTGTTTTGGGAGGTTACGCAGAGCTTTAATACTAAAGTGAGACATTGAATGACTGAAGCAGAGTTCACATCACTCCAAACTCCAGTTTCACATGAAACTAGAACCTGTTCAGCAAGCTCATGATGTTAAAACAGGTATTTTACGGTTGCCGTTGTTGTTTTACCTGTTGAAGAGGGGATCATGACCGCCTAGAAAGAAAAGCCAAAAAGAATTTTAAGCATTCTCTTGAGGCTGGAAAGGGTCACAAGTGTTGAGCTCTGACCACACCATAAAGCTGACTTACCGTTTCGCTTGGTTGAAATATGAAAGCTGTTAAATATATACAAGAAATACACAGAATATTTTAAAAGAAGAAAAGCTGCAACAATCTGCTTTTTTCATCTTTGTCTGAGATAGCTGTGCAGTACTCACCTTTGTTGCGGCGGTAGAAGATACCTGGTAGCCGGTTGGAGCGTTTGAGGTAGAAAAAAGAGGCAACCGAGAGAATCAGGAACAAGCTGATCAACAGCGTTCCTAGAAGAAGGGAGGCCGCTACACCTGGGCCTCCTGCATCAAAACAGGAAATGATTTTACATTAATGTACATGCAAACACAGAATATTTAGTTTTAGGTAAATCATATGAAATATTGACTAGATTTCAACATATTGAGTTAACAGCATTTTTCTTTAAGACATACACTAATGCTGACCTCATGAAATCATACAAACATACATGCAAATCTCTTACCAATTTTAGGAATGACAGTAGTTACTGTTGTGTGGTTTTTACGCTCTAATGTGTAATCTAGAAAGGGTGAAACACAAAAAAAAATTGTAAAAAAAAATAGTAACTTTTTCTTGCTTGTAACATGTTAAGTGGAGCAGAGATTTCTCACTGTAGGTGCAGACAGTTACGTTCTCCAGGTCCACAGCTGCTGAGTCGCAGAAAATGCAGACGGTGTTGCTGTTTTCCTGGACACGAATGAAGCATCCTGAGGAGTTAAAAAGCATTCATTTCAATTTTTCATCAAGTATGTTGTTTTTTATCCCTCCGCGATCTAGAGTGAAGGACTTGTGATTGTGCCTAATCAGTATCAGTGTCAGGTGATAATGATGTAATTTTATTTTGTTTAGAGTTGAAAGACTAATTACGTTACGCTCTCTCGTACCATGATGAAAAAACTGATGAGGTCAATAATCATAACAGATCACAGACTGAATAATGGCAAAGTGGAGTGGATCGCTGCACACCCTTACTGACCCCACTGAATAAGATCCCCTTGAATGAAGGTGCAAATAATCTTCAAAATTTTACCTGACCAAGTATTTAGAATCATATTAGAAGCTTTGTGCAGAACAAGAAATGAGCTGCATGTGAGTCAGTGAGCAACATCCTTCTGATTATCAACAGACCTGCTTGTTGATGACTAATTTCCGCTGCTCCTTGGCAGACTTCTTTGGTCGTTAGTGAAATCAAATGGCCGTGCCAGTGTCAGTAGATCCACGCAGTTTTAGAATGTCACCAAAACAAACTAAACAAGGACCATCCCATCTACGTCTGATTTGAAATTAGATTAAAATGTGATCATGTAACTATATTGACCTGAAATCATCTTTAATTCACTTAACTGAAATCTCAGCATTGAATAGGAGCCCAGCACTCTTTTCAATTTTGAGCAGATCTTTCAAGTCTGAATGTCATATTGAAGATATAGTAAAAATCATCTTATGAGGTTGAACATGTGAGTATGTATTAGTTATTAGTTCTTAATATCACTAATAGCTATCACAGCTTTGCCACTAATGAAGAGTTTAAATTACCTGGTTCACAGTGAGTGTCATTTGAGCACGAACTGTTCACTCTTTGTTTCTCACTGCAGCACTCGAGAGAGTTCTGATGCAGGGCCTGCAAAAAAACAGGATGCGGTATGAGTTAACAAAACTGTGGAACCTGTGCAAAGCAAGTATGTAACCTTCATTTTCTACCTTTGTTACAGGTGTCTCGGGTCTGATGAGAATTACAGTTGCAGCGAAGACCAAAAGGAATGACAAAGCCATACTCAAATCCCTGGAGACAAAACACAGCCAGATTAGATATGAATCAGCCACACATAGATGAACACACCTTAACCCATTAAACCCACAGAGCACTTCCAAGTTTTTATAATGTTGTTAAACATTACTCTGAAGTTGTACATACTAAAGCGAGATACATTGGCCGTTTTTAGCTGTCCCTGATCCATTTCCACCTTTGTCAATCTTTATATTTTTTTTATACTTATTAAAACCAAAAACGATTAACAGAAACAAAGGTTTAATGAAATGAGCAAGATAAAAAAACAAAAAAAACAAATAGCTGATAAAAACACATTTTAGTATGGCTGATAGTCCAGCTTTAATTAATCATTTTAATTTAAATGGTGGTCAACAGTAACCCTCACCCAGTCATGCTAAAGTATTATATCATTTTGCACTTACTTGTAAAGATATACAACATGTCGAGATAAAAACAGTCTTGCTTCTATAAAGAAAAGCTACTTGTCATCTTAACTTGGATAAGGGAACAAAACACAGTGATTCCTAAAACGCAAACAAGGCATCCCAGAATATTCATGAGGTAGATCTACCAAGGACAATGGAACGTAAACCAATCGTATTTCATGTGCCTCTTTCACTGAATGTCGCACACAAAGTTACAGGGCTAACGCGTAGATTGAATGGCAAAATGATAGGACTGAGCAGCATAATACTAAGGGGGTGCTGGCTGGGTGCAGCAGCTAACGCCAGAAGAGTCAGAAAAGGTGCTCAGCTAGCTAACACCTGCCATGACGTGAGGCAAGAACCTGAAAGTGCGAGCGCCCAGAGACCATCCACTTTTGTCAGCGTTTAGGGGGCAGATCTGCTCGCATTTCTGTCATCATTTCACAGTTACGCATATCTAAACCAAGAGAATCAACAGCTGCGGTGCTCACTGCAGAAACACAAAAAGTTCACTCACCAGTCACACACTATTCTTTGGCCCGATCAAACTCCCGGGTATGGTTTGATAACCAGCAGCTTTCGTCTGCCGAAAAGACACAACCACACAGTTGTTTGTAGTTGCTGATGAGATGTCATCAGCTAACGTCTCTTACCCAGCGGTAGACAGATAACCCTGCTGCTCGTTGCTTGTAGCTTCTTGTTTTCGTTTAGCATATGGACTTCCGGAAATCCTTTTCAAAATAAGGTGTATAGACTGACACAAAGAGAGCAGTTCAAAAAAGTCTGAAAAGATGCCACGTTCACATCATGGTATCGATGACGTCCTTATCTAATATTTCTTCTGATAAAACAATACGTAATAATGCTTTCCGTATTTTGTTTTAAATGGTCACCCAATGTCATCCTTGTTTAATCTGGAAAAAGTATTTGTCTTTAGTATAATTTTAAAAACAGCTAATCACAAATGCACTTAGAAAAGAACCAATTCACGTGTATCCAGCACCTTAAAGTTGTGTAGCCATTAATGCTTCATACCAACTGAGTGATTTTCTGAAATTTGATTGAGCTTAATTATTTCACCATGTCAGTCATTCACATCTTAACAGCTCATACGATAACATTGGGACTGAGTGCCCATATTGTGTCCCAAGATGTCCCAATAAGAGCTGCTCATACACAATCAAACTGTTTCCTACCCTAAAACATAGGTACATTTTTAAAGCACTTTGCATAAATACCGTGTTGTGCTGTACCAGTTGTACTGGTTCTATATTTGGTCCTGGTCCCGTAACCATAGCAATGGATTACTTCAGTTATCTTCTTTTTTTATTTTCAGGTGACGAACCCAACACTATAAACAGATTAGTTTCGGATATAAACGTCGACGAAGTACTTGTAGTTAAATCTAAATAAATCTAACTAACAAATAAAATCGCTTTCTCTGACATGAAAACATTGCTATACTTGTAGCACACTTGAACACACGCCAAATGGATTAACTAGTATTTTTCGACGGCCCCTGAATGCACCATTTACGTATACCTGTGATTTCGAAAGGCGGGAAATCTTAAAACATTCAGTAAGCTATTTATCAACTTCTCTTTACATCCCAACTACTTGTGAATTATTTTGCTGGTATTTAAGAACTCTTTGTTAAATGGGCACTTTCGTTTTAACACTTAAATTACTTGCAAGTGGTTTTTAAAAATATTTGTACCCGTAAACCTTAAGCTAATGAAGACTTAATGCTAAAAATCGGAAATGTGTTAAAGTCAACCAAGTATAGAAAATACAGGCAGTTGAAACTGTGACAAACTTGTTATTTTAAGGACATCAAACATGAATCATGTGAGGAACATAAAGGAGATGCTGAGTATCCAATGTGGAAGCAGGTTGTCAGTTTTTTCATTTCATTTCTTGCCTGCTACATATGTATTGGACTGTGTTAAATCTGAATTAATGTTATTTCTATATTTATATACAGCATTGCTTTGCCTTTTCACACATGGTTCTGGTAAATATTTAATCTGTGCTTGTTCTTTCATACATCCCCCCTCACTGGGGCTATTATACCAGCAGAAATGTGGCTACCAGTGGCTACTCCAGTTTGACAGATTCTCAGCTTTTCTTTGGGTCTCAGTTTTGGCCTGAAAATTCTCAGAACACGTCTCAAGATTTGAGTTTGTCATCCAGAAACTCCCAACAAAGTTCACAAGAGGTGAGTTACTCATCTTTAGGTTGTGTGGGTTTCAAGAAGCGACAGTGTTGTACTTTGGTGCTGACAAAGTCAGAAAAGGATGGCGTCAGGTTGTCGTGTTATTAGTTTAATTTATAGCAGGTGTGATGGTTTACTGATCAGTAATGGACAGAGGAATTGCAAAAAATTGCTAATTTCTGGCTCTCTGCAGATTATTTTAATAGAAGTATTCCTTTTTGTGAATGAGCTGATGATTGATGTCTATACCATTTTTTTTTTTAAAGAAAAGACAAAAAAGAGGGCTGATTGGTCCCAGGTTTTCACAATGGACAATACGATAAAGCCAACAGAAACATACATTTTCCAAACTGTGTGAAGCTGTGACCAAGCATGCAACCAAACAAAAAGAGCTATTGTTAAATATTCATCTTTATATATTCTCACATCTGTTTAGAAAAAATTAATGATATTTTGTTCATTTAGGGGAGTGACCCAAAGTCTTTAAACACTTACCACTCCAAACCTCTCCTGTTTGGAGATTTAAAGGACAAAACCAAAACCTCTGGGTTACTGGGCAAATTTGAAGAAGACAGGAAAAAGGCAAAAGAAAAAAAGGACAAGTGAGTCTTTTTAAAAGTTAGCTCTCATTTTATAGAAATGCATGGAAAAGTTTAAAATAATGTGTAAACCTTTGTTTTTAATAGTGACCTTTTAGCCAAAGAATTACAGCAAATCAGAGAAACGCTTGTCAGTGTAAGTGGTGCAAGGCAGCCATGGTTTTTCTAAAACAATATTTTTTAGGTATTTGTCTTCTTTTAAGTGTTACATAAATGCTATTTTATAATTTACAGATTCAACAGTTGGTCACGGGCACTGACACAAACACAGCTTTGTGCCAAACAGTTTTAGAAAAAATGGACGCTTTTGCATCAATATGTAAGTTTTCTGTTAGACTGATAGATTTTTCAAATTTGTGTGTTAATTTAAAATTCAGTATTTAGCTCATTTAATGAAAAGTACTTGTCTAACAATTAGGAATTAGTCAAAAATAATCTCTGATCATGCACGTCCATGTATTTGAAAGGCTTTTAACTTCGGTGCAGGTATTGTTTTTGTTTAGTTTTTTCTACTTGCTGACTTGCTTTGCAAATCTTTTCATTCATTGATCCCAGTGAACAGAAGTTTGACTGGTCTTCAGAGTGATATTTCCCTGAAGTTTGAGTCTTTGGTAGATAAACTCAACACACAGAAACAGGTGATGGCAGAGCTGGAGGAAAGAGTACAGAAGGTGAAGTTTATTTTTTTTATTGTTGATTTAATCATGTTGTCATACACAGTTAAAAATGCTTTTTGTTTTGGAGTTTAATTGTTCAATTCATTCTGTAGAATGGAGAGACCACAGTTGAGCTTGACTCAAACCTTCAAAGCTTAAGGAGCAATCTGCAATGTCTGAGGGAGGAGCAGGAAAGAGATAGACACATGCTGCAAGAGGCTGTGAGACTGCTCACCAATTTAGTCTCTGAGCAGTCAGCCAAACCCACCACTGAGGCAGTGAGGGACAGCTCTATCCAGACATCTCCTGGGTGGGAGCAGTCAATGTCCATTCTGCCTCATAACCGGCTTGTAGGCACGTATCTTAAAGCCACGTCGTGCAGCTCTAACCAACCTCAGGCTAAAAGAACCTCTCAGGATCACAGGCGTGAGCTTGGAAGAAGGAAATTGATTCTGAAGGGCCAGAGGGGGTGCAAAAAGAGGCCACTGGTGCTCCCGCAAAGGAGTAAGTGCACAGTCTTGGATGAAAACAGTAACCCTGGTAACAACCTTAACAAACCTCAGTCACTTTCATCGCCTCTGCTTGAGCATTGTGATGGGGACCCAGCAGCCAGCAGTCTGACGTCACTGAACAGAGGAAGCAGATCCAGTCAAGCCGGGGGGTGCATCATCACCCCTCTGAGCTGCTGGTCTCAGGACAGCAGCGGCTCGGAGTGCCTCACAGCAGTTGAACCCATCTTGGAGAAACTTGTTGCTAAGTCAAACATGGAAACCGCAGTGAAACTTGGAGGCCTCTGGCAGCTGTTTGACTGTGAGTCTTAGAGAAGGAAAGGAACTGACCCAAGAATACAGTGCTTGTTTTGTTCTCTTCAAGCAGAGGGGAGCCAAAAGGGTTACCAATTTCAATTTCAATTTCAATTTGTTAGGTATGACCACAATGATAAGTTTATGTGTGTGTGTGTACATATATATGTATATATATATATATAATCTAAGTATGTTTTTTTATTGATATGGTATAAAATCTGTGTAAACATTTAATGTTAGGCAAATGTTTAAAGAAAGGGGGATTGCGACCAACAGATGTTTATGCTTATCCAATTTAATTGATAGTCTTGATAACCTTTTGTGTTTCCATCAAAATTTTTCTTGTTAAACGTCTGTGTAGCTTTGTGACAATGAAAATGAGAATGTTATTTATATATAAAGTATAAAATTCCAAATAAATATACACAAACAAAATCAAATAGTCTGTGTTAATTTTATGAATGTGCTAGGCAGGAGATCATTTCGGTGACCTGAGGTTTAATACAAATCTTGTTTAAAAAACAAACAAACCGCACATTAGTAAATTAACTTAAAGCAATTATCACTATTGTATGATGGAGTTTTAGGGTATACATTTTATTTTAATTGGGGGGGAATTATTTATGAGATTATAGTCGTTATTAAAAATGGCAAGAATAAAACCCATCTGAGTGGCCCGCCGATGCATCCAGTGATAACCCTGCAGTTGCCCACTTCAAGTCATTTCCCCTAAACATCCGCCTGGTTCTTTCTGTGGAAAAGAAGCTTTTTCTTGCATTTTCTTATTTACGTCCTGATACTAATGACAATTTGATTCTGATGTCTAATCAAATAATTAGAAGTATTTCCTTGTTTGTGAAACCTATTTTTAAAGTACATTTCCACAAGTTCCATGCTCCAAGGCCCTCATTTTATCAGCTCTTGTCTTCAAAAACAGAATAAAATGTTGGCAAACTAATTCTCGTAAATTGTTCTTGCCATACTTAATAATTCATTCCAAAGAATTTTTTTTTCATTAAAAAAGGGATTGCTAAACAATTAACTTGTGTACAAGTACATATATACAAAAGCATACAACAGTGACTGTGTACATCACAACAATAACCACAGCATGCCTAGAATAAAGTGCATGTTTATTTGCAATGCTATTATATATCTTATTCTGCCTGCAAACGTATGTGTAACCCCTTTTGCCCTATGAGATTTGGAAGCGTTTGTTAATTGGCCACTGTCTATTAACTTCAATCTGTTAAAATATTCCTATGTTGGTATAACATATAGAATTAGTTTATCCTTTGAAACACCAAATTCCTTTAATTAAGTATTCCAAAGTTAAATGTACTCGTAAAATCATTATTAATCCTTGTAAAGGAAATTATTTCTTTTTGTTTCTACGAAGTGTCTAAACCAGAATTGGGCTTTGCAGCTGAAAGTTCCAGGTGTCACTCAGAAAAGCAATAAGAAGTGGGGAAAAAACTATTTACAAATTCCCTCTCAGCCAAACAATGTGCAAGTAAGCCAATCAATACATACCCTCTCCTACACACAGCAGCCAGGGCTTTTCTGCATGAAAAAGTAACGGATGGCCTTTGGCCCAGCAATTAAGTTCATTAATGATTCATTTTTTTCAATGACTTTCTCACACAGACTTTGATCTGACTGATTTGTTTGTCACAGTCTGACTAAGTCTGCAGGTGGGGATACAAGTCCCCTTGGGTTGAGATTTGCCACTAGACAGACGTCATAGTTGTCATGCATCAGTGTACGCCGAGCCACCACTGTCCACCGGTTCTCCCATGGGTCCAGCTCCAAAATATCCTTTGTTATATCATCATGACGATCTGAGGAGAGTTAAAAGAAAGAATGTCATCTGGAGTGAATTTGAAAAAATATTTCATAGACCTTAAATTTTCTTTCTCTACCTGCTCCCTTGTAATATCCACAGACATAAATCTTTCCCCCCACCACTCCGGCATTGGAGGCATTGGTACGCAGTGAGAGCTGGGGACATGGGAGTGGAGGCCCATCTCTCCAGAAATCTCCATCTGGGTTGTAGATCTCCACAGCATCCAGACAGTGCCGTGATTGTCCACGGTCCACGCCTTCACATCCAATACCTCCTGTAAACAGCCCCCCAGTATTATCAAATAGATGGAAATGAATAAATATAGTTATTTTTTTAGCAAAACCTGATAAATTACCCTCTATGTAAGCATGGTGAGAAGTCTAAATTCAAAGGCATTTGTTATGGGAAAAAAGGGAAAAGATCTGACCTATCACAAAAATTTCTCCGTTGAGCTCCACAGCACTGCAGCGGTACTTTGAGTACTTCATGGGACCAAGCTCAGTCCATTTGTTTGTGTTGGGATCATACTCTAGAAGGCGGTTACTAAGGCGGTCAGGCTCATCATCCGTGCGGTATGACTGGAAAGTTGACAAGGAAAAAGAGTCTGACAAAGCACACCAGGTGTAGTAAAGAAAAGAGTCCCACACAGACAAAATAAGAAGTCTCAGTCTAAGTCTAATAATCTGTAAGTAACACTGAACTACAGTAAATGCAGTTCTTGAATAATTGACAGGTAAAGTTTTTAGTCACCTGTGGAGTGCGACCACCCAACACATAAAGTCGGTCTTTCATTCTGACCACGCTGTGGTAAGCCAAAGGCATCGGCAGGGGTGCTGCACTCCTCCAAGGTCCCCCCTGCAGAGACCATCGCTCCACACAGTTTGTGATGAGAAACTGATTCTTTAGCCTCATCTGCCCGCCTAAGATGTACAGAGTGTCACCCAGCGAGCCCAGAGCATAGGAGTCACGGTACTCCGCTGAGGTCATGGGCTCCCAGCATCCCTGGGCCTCCACTTTATACCTGGAAACCCAAACAATCAGAGCTGTTTGTCCAGCTGAGGCCTGCTCATGAGCATGAAGTATTACGCATCTGTCTTACCTGTAAATCTCCACCTTCGAGTCTTTCTGGCGGGCCATTCTGCGTGCACTTGCCTCTCCAGCTACAATAATGTCATTCCTCTCGGTCACAACCCCAGTGCAGACGTATCCCAGAGCCTCTCCGTAGCGAGGGGAAGTGATGTAGTAGGTCCGGCATGTTGAGGGGGCATAGCAAAAGCTGCGCTCTGCGTAGTTACCGTACCTTGACCTGATCCCGCCGCCGTCATTACCAACACAGAGCAGAAGATCTGTGGTCTCCATGCCGTAACGCAGCTTGAGTTTGCGCGGTGCAGCCGAGGGATGCATCGCTGCAGCCTCCAGAGCCTCATTCAATATCTCCAAACATTCAGCATCAGCCAGCAGTGCAGTGTTTCTCTTCATTGCTTCTCTTAAGTAGTCAGCGTTGACCAGTGGCAGACGGACCTTCCTCAGGAGCTCCGGAAGATGCCTACTACGTACTTCTCCTTCTATCAGAGAGCCATGTTTGACCCAGTGAAGAACCACGTCCAGGATAGTTTCTTCTCGAGACACATTCAGGTCATCAGAACTGAGGAGCTTCGCAATCTGATGGGCCTCCAGCTCCAGGATCTCCTCGCTCTGACAGACTTGAACAAAGTGCTGCCTCAGGAAGCGCTGGGCCTGGTCTGCCAGTTCCTCTGCACCGAGGTCACGGGCAAAGTAATACACACCAAGACAGTTGGAGGCATCCATGTTCTCTGTCATGTGCTGCTGACACCGCATGAAGACGTCATCCATCTGCAGAAGAAACGCTGCAATGGAGATGCCTTGGACGTTGGCGTTAGTAAGAGGGAGGTCTGAGCAGTACATGTAGTTTAAGAGGAGGGCCAAGCTGTCTGCGGGGGTGTCACGCAGGAATATTTCTCTGTTGTTGCATTCACGCAGGCCACAGGTGAACATTACTCTGAAGTACGGACTGAAGGCGGATAGAACAACTCTGTGGCACGGAAAGCTGATGCCCTCAGCAACCAGGACCACATCCGTCAGATGCTCAACCTCCCTCATCTTCCGCAGCTGGTCGAGCAGCACCAGCCCATGTTTGACTGCAAGATCCATTTGACTAAAGGATTTCCAGTTAACTTTATATTTTCAAAATTACACAAGGGGGCTATACACATCCAGAGTGACTAGCAAGGCTGTCCCTGGAGAGCAAACGCAGACAAACAAAGTTTACCACCATCACATCAAACCAAAGCATCACAGAATGGCATTTTCATTTTAATCGTAAAGAGGAAAGTTATTTAAACACCAGCTAAAGCCCAATTGTTTTCACTCCACCATGCAGAAGATCATCTTTTGATTTTAAGATCAATTGATATTTGTTGCCCTGTAATTATGGTGTTAAATGTTCCTTTCACTTCTTGTAATTCCATTAATACCCTTAAATCAAAACATAAACAAAGGTGTAAAGTATTACATGTAAACAATCTTTTTTACATTGTTAAAAGCCTAAAATTTTCATAAACTTTAAAAAATTAATTTAGGACAGTTAGGATTTTATGTTTATGTTTAAGCATTTATCCAAAGCGACTTACAAAATAGACTTTCTTTAAATTTTAGAAATGTTATTGTTGTAGTTTGTCTTTTCTCTTTCATTTGGTAAATATATTGGTAATATTTCAGATGATGTTAATGTCCAAAATAACTTGTTGTTAGGTCTTACCAAAAGCATCAGCTTGTCTTGTCTTTTGCAGATCTTCTACAGTCTAAAAACTCCGGTAAATATCCATGTTTTTCAGCATTCGGCACATGTTGTTTATGTTGCAGAATATGTGGGGTTAGAGAGATCTGAGCGAAGGCGAGGCAAAGATATGTACCCCCCACCACTGTTACTGCCCCCTGGGCTGTTAGCCCTAAAATAGACAGTGATGTGGCAGGCAGTAAGTGGGTCAGAGGGGCTTGGGTGACATGAAAAGAAGAATTTTTGGATAGGTCAAAGTAACAAATATGATAAAATGCTGTTGTTATTCAGACTTTCAATTGTTGGTATTGTGCTGTTCTTCGTTTGGGACAATTCCCCTTTACATTTTGCACTCTTGTCACGTGCAGTCAGCCCTGGAATGACCAAAACAGGGCTCCCAGGCCGGATTCAGATTTCATGACAGCGCTCTTTTAAAGACCCAGTACATGATATAGACCAACATGCTTCCTCCTCCCTTCCACTGAGTTTAACCTTTAGCATTTAGATTTTTGAAACAGCTGTACCAACCAGAATTAAATGTTTGGATCCAACTCTCAGGATTTCCATAAAAAATGTTTTTATTCAGCTTTATTTTAAGACCACATGTTCAGAAACAGTCACATATAAATACTTGTTTTGTAAATTGGAGTCTAAACAGGTGTCTCATGTATCATTAGTTGCAATTTATAGTTGACCGAAAAACCAGAGAGGATGGAAACACACAGTCATCTAAATTCAGGAAAACTGATCTTTGGCCTCTTTCAGGGGCATAATCCCATCCTTTGCTTGATGAAGTCACCCATCAGTTGTAATCGTGCTGTCCACAACATCCTGACTACAGTTAACCATTAAACTACATAGTGTACAAAAGCAGACGCGGCTGTTACTGGGACATTGATACTGTCACATCTCGTCCGGTTGGACAGTTTGTATGCAGGCAACATTTTTAAAAACAAATTTAAAACAGTTTGACAGATTTGTTTAAATGGAGTCTAGGAGAAGGCTTGGAACGTACAGAGTTGAGCGGGAGGTGTTGGATGAGCAGAGACTGGAGGAGGTAACACAGAGAAAAACCTATTCAGAAATCCACCAACCTCTAAGAGAACAGCTTAAAGACTCTTTCAGGTAAACTGTTTATTAATTTACTGTACAAGAAACCAGTCTTAATTATGTCAAGAATATCTGCCATTATGTAAACTTGCACATCTGCACTTTCACAGATGTACAGTACCCAAGCTTAAGCGAAGTGTGATGAGCAGCTTTCCTGTGCTGTACTGGATGCCCAAGTACTCAATCTGGGACTATGGCATGCCTGACCTAGTCTCTGGGATTAGTGTGGGCATAATGCATCTGCCACAAGGTATGACAAAAAAAGGTCCAATCTGGATGAACACATAGCAGTAACAGCATTACTTAACCCAGTGACCGGGGTTGTCAGCCATAAGCAATAACGCTGTGTGTAAGCATTTGTCATTCTCTTTTATGATTTGAGAAAAACACACAGGCCTTAAATATATTTATATGAAAACTGACCTCCACAGGTATGGCATATGCTCTGCTAGCTTCTGTACCTCCTGTGTTTGGGCTATACTCATCGCTTTATCCCACACTTGTCTACTTCTTTTTCGGAACATCACGTCATATCTCTATCGGTGAGTGCAGCAGGCAGAGGATAAATCATTCGCCACCATTTTAGAGATATTTGTATTTAGAAAGAGACAATAACTCTGCACCATGTCCGTTACTGTGCACAGGTACATTCACTGTGCTCAGCATCATGGTGGGTAGTGTGACAGAGAGACTTGCTCCGGATGAATGTTTCATGAAAACCAATGGGACCAACATCACAGGCGAGGTGGATATAAGTGCCCGAGATTCATACAGGGTGCAGGTGGCAGTTGCTACTACTTTCTTAGGAGGACTTATACAGGTTTGCAAACCCGGATGTCCTACTTCTGTAGTAAAGGGAATGTACTTTTCTCTTGAAGCTATGAAAACATAAAGACTGCTGTGTTTACAGGTGCTACTGGGTGTGGTAAAGTTCGGCTTTGTGGGAACTTACTTGTCTGAGCCCCTGGTGCGTGCCTACACCACAGCTGCAGCAGCACATGCCGTGGTGGCACAGCTCAAGTACATGTTTGGAGTTTCCCCCAAGCCGTTTAGTGGCCCACTGTCACTTGTGTATGTAAGTAATGTCAAGCAATGATTCTGCTCGCTTTGCTTTGTTTGTAAAACTGTCCTGACCTAAATTCTTCTTCTTAGGTTGCAAAAACAAAATCTATCCCAAGTAGAATCATTGTGTCTTCGTACAAACCAGTAAATGCCACCAGCTTCCAGCCGACCACTGAATCAGGGCTGTGTTTATTTAGAATTTTTATGCAGGGCCTTTGCAGATGGCCAGCCTGACTGACTTTACATCAAGGGTAACCTTAATTTCACAAATCAAAACACAGTCTGGTAAAATGATAATTCATATTACAAAATGGTTGTAGTGGACGTTTTTATAGCTTTCTTTCAAACTACAAGCAAAAAGATTAATATTAATAAAGGCAAAGCTGTTTCTTAAAGAAATTCAATACAAGACAGAATGTTGCCAGTTGTCATTCTTTTGAGCTTTATTTTAAGCCATGATAGTAGGTTTGCCAACAGTTGGAAAAAGACCAAAAATCATGACCTACAATGAAGAAAATTGTTGTGTGTAAGCAGGTCAAGCATGCAGCATCCAAATGTAACTGCAATCTGCTTCATTCCTTTTGATTTCAGACTCTGGTGGACGTTTGCTCCTTGCTGCCTAACACTCATCTCCCCACTCTGGTGGTCAGCAGTGTGACAATGTTCCTTCTGATTGCAGCCAAAGAGCTAAACTCATTCCTCAGTGCGAGGCTGCCTGTGCCTGTCCCGGTGGAGCTCATCACGGTCAGTTGACACAGCTCTCTGCCCTTTGACTCAAACCACCCTGCACTGGTGCTGATGATGCAGCACTACAGAATTGTATCGACACAGTGGAAATAAGCAGCTGAATCAGCAGTGGTGCAAAAGTCCTCTGCTTTTTGCACTTCACAGCAAAAAAAAAGCAATTTCTGGTTGAAAATTAAGTCCACATCGAGGATATGATTGACTACATTGCACTGACTAATGTTTCAGGGTGGAAAGGAGTTGAGGAATTGAGTTCGATGTGTTTGCAGTTATTATCCTCATGTTTCTTGTGATCATTTTAGATTGTGGCAGGGACACTGACATCAGCCTATGCCAACTTGAACAGTAACTACAGTGTTTCAGTTGTTGGAGAAATTCCAAGTGGGTGAGTATCTAGGTTTAAATGATGCTGGTGTTAAATGTGGGAACCCTTTCCAGCTTCTATGGTGCTAACTTCCCTTTTGTTTGCCGTTTGCTCACCAGTCTAAGCTCTCCCACTTTACCGGATGTGAGTCTTTTTGGAGAAGTCATTGGTGATGCTTTTGCTCTGGCCATCGTTGGATATGCCATATCCATCTCACTGGGAAAAACATTTGGACTGAAACATGGTTACAAAGTGGACAGTAACCAGGTGAATTCACATGAAAAAACAAAAAAACATAGCCTCTACTTCTATGTAGATTATGCATCATCTTTTTGGGGTTCTTTCATGACAAATCTTATGTTTCTGTCCCCTCTCTGCTGCAGGAGCTTGTGGCGCTCGGTCTCAGTAACGCAGTGGGAAGCTTTTTCCAGTGTTTTTCTGTCTGCTCCTCCATGTCCCGAAGTCTCATCCAAGAGACCACCGGAGGTAAAACGCAAGTGAGTGAGCAACAAAGTAACTGCATCAAACAACGGCTGCAATCATTTAATGACTATCCTCCTTCCCAAAAAAAACGCGCACAATAGGTGATGACAATGCGTGTTGTCCACTTAGCATGTCCATCTGTTTCTTTAATTCATCTCTGGGAAACAGACCCTGTTCATGTGCATGCATGATAAGTCTTTGTGTCACTCCTGCAGATGGCTGGAGTTGCCTCGTCTCTAATCGTTCTGGTGACCATATTGAAACTAGGAACGCTTTTCCAGGAACTGCCAAATGTAAGCTTCACCACTTGTCCTTTCTGTAAAATGACTTCAGATTAACCTATAGTGCTTTTGTAGAGGCTCTTTTGACTAAACATGTTGTTTCAGGCCGTCCTTTCTGCGATTGCGCTTGTAAATTTGAAAGGCATGTTCAAGCAGTACTCTGATGTTGTCACACTTTGGAGGAGCTGCAAAATTGATCTGGTGAGAGGATGCAATTACAATTTTCTGCATAATTCTCGAAAGAAAACTTGCTAAAACACAAAGTCAGGGGGGGTGCTGTTTGTCCTAAAGATGTCAGTGTTGTCTAATGGTGTTCTGTCAGAATAAATAATGACGTGCTGCACTGCCCTGCATCTTCCAGCTGGTATGGGTGGTCACTTGGGTGTCAACAATGCTGCTGAATCTGGATCTGGGTCTGGCCACATCCGTCTCCTTTGCTCTCCTCACTGTTATTTTCAGGACTCAAAGGTAAGATTTTTCTACACCTCATTACTGTATTTATTTCACATATCTGAATCACGGTGTGTTTGGAAGATGCAGTTTTAGTAGTAGGTGTTTTACTGCACCATCAGTCAGGAAAGGCTAAACTGTTTTTTTTCTACCATTCTTCAGGCCAACATACTCTGTTCTGGGAAATGTTCCAGGTACAGAGCTCTATGTGGATATAGAGATGCACAGAGAGGTGAGACAGATGGACAGCCGTGACATAAATATGTTCCTGCCCTGACTCTTCTCTCTTTGACAGGCAAAAGAGATCCCAGGTGTTACCATATTCCGCTCATCAGCTACAGTTTATTTTGCCAACGCTGAGCTCTACCTTGAAGCCTTGAAAGAAAAAGTTTGTCTATTTTTTCTAAAATGTTTTAAATATGAATCAAATTGATTAAAAATAACTTTATTTTCTACTTTCTCACGATTTCTCTCCTCCTGAACAATATTCATTTAAAAAACAGATCAATATGTAAGTCATTGTTATTCATTTGAATAGATTTTGTATTTTTCTTTAATCTAACACAGTGACCAATACTTTAGTTTTCTGGTTATATGCTTGTTTGAAGGTCATGCTTTGATTTCTTTTTATCTGTTTTCAGAGTGGGCTTGACATTAGTAAAATGATTATTTATAAGAGGAGACAGGAAGTCAAACAGAGAAGACGAGAAAGAAGGGCTGAAAGACGGGCAAAGAGACTTGCCAAAAAAGAGGTAACATATGGGAAATGGTCAGTTCTAGGTGCTGGAGGATATCACAGCGGTCATTGTGAAGCAAGGTGTATTTCGATGGGTTGTAACCAAACCATCCCACTCCTACATTTCTTTCCCTGAATTCACAACAGAAACGGGCACAGAAGACAGCTGCACCGATATCTGGATCCCAGGAGTTGTCAGAGGAGGAAGAGGATGGCTGTTGGCATGAGATAGAGGAGACTTTCACAGAAAAAGAGGAGCATGGCTGCGCCGACAGAGAAAATGGCACAGTATTTGTCATCCCAACCACTCCCCGAACGCCCGACGGTCATTCCAGATGGGAGTACCTGAAAGGAGCAAATCCAGACTGCACCAGCCTGGGGTGGATGTCCGAGCTGCAGGATGGAGACACCACCACGCTGGGCTCCAGCAGTGAGGACACACTGAGCCATGACCTAGAGCGCATCTCACTTGGATCTTTGGGGAAGTGGACCTGGGACATTCACTCCATCATTCTTGACCTCTCCACAGCTAACTTTATTGACACTGTGGCAGCAAAGACTATAAAAAATGTAAGTAATAAAAAATGGAAAATGATGGAAAAGGAAGCCTTTGATGTTCTTTCATTAACTTTCCTGACATCTAGAAAGATAAGAAGTATTATCACGCTTCCAGTTCATCAGGCTTCATAGTCATTTAATATGTGATCTCTAATACCACGTAAGTTATTTCACAAACATGGGAAACCTGGGTTCCTAGGACTGTTTTACGAGCTGAAATGTAGTTGAACTGAATATTTTACCAGGTTTTCATTTCTTCTGTAATAGATCAACTTAATATGTCAAAGTTCTTGTCAGTCATATAGCAAAAAAACTTTAAACCAGGTTACAAAGAAAATAAACAAACCAGCACCAAGATGGCCAGCAGAGAGCCCCAATTTTGATTCCATTGTTTTTCCTTCTCAGCTACTTCAAACGCTGATTTGATAGTTTACTTACACTCAAAGTGACCCAGTGATTTCTCATTACGGAGACAGGATCACATGGTGGGGAAGGATTATGAACTGGTCTTATTTAAAAGTTTGAAAAAAGCTAAATATTCTGTCTTTTTTATGTCAACAGATTTTCCAGGACTTCAGTGAGATTGATGTGGATATATATATCGCTGGCTGTCAAGGTAAGTAAATAGATTGTCGTTTTTTTTAAGGCTGTACTATAGGAATGTACTTTACTATGGTCATGATTTGCCCATAAACTTTTTTCATATTAGCCTCAGTGGTCGAACAATTACAGCTCGGCGACTTCTTCTCTGAGACAATCACAAAGAGGCATCTTTTTGCTTCTGTTCATGATGCTGTGCTCCACTGTCTCAACCATCGTGGAGCTACATCATTCCCCAGATACGACCCAACAGGGGTAAGTGTCTCAAGCGGTTATCCAGACAAGCAAGGCCGATTCACTGACATTTTGCACTTATTGCTGACTAACATGCAGTTGAATAGTAGCGTCAAACTATCAAAGGTCTGATAAATGTATTGTCATTTATTTGAAATGTCTAACCACCTAAAAACTTGTTTAATTCCAGGACCTGCACAACAGCACAAAATTTTAAGATCTTCAACATTTCAGGAAATTCAGAAGAGAAGATGGATCTGGAGGGAAAAAAACAATCTGTGGTATTTTAGTCAATAGATGCTAGCTGTAGAAATAACTTAAATATTCAACTACTTATGAATGACACATTTTTTTTATGTTTTTATGTTTTACCTCACAAATTGAAGTGATATTTATACATGATGTTTTTAAGTAACTTTAAAAAAAAGTATAATATTGAGAACATCCATCCATCCATTATCATTACCGCTTATTCCCTAATGGGGTCGAGGGGAGAACTGGAGCCTCTCTTAATCTTTCTTAATCTAACTATTTAAATGAGGGACAATGATGCTGGGTACTTTAAAAGATGTTTATTCAGTCAATCACAGGGAATTAGGACATCTGAGTGATAGCTTGTGCATTTTCATCTGTTGTGCATTCTACAAGAACTGTAATGGTGAAATCAAGGGACAAGACAAGGCATCATGCATCACACTGAGTGTGTGAGCTTTTTTGGTCATGGCAGTCTTTTCAGTTTTTGAGTGCATTGATTCCTGTTTGCTTGTGCCAACAGCAAAACATGGGAAAGTAATCATGCAAAGGAAGCATAATCTGAAGTTCAGTGTGTGACACTTAGTGGAATCCTGCTACATGAATGCAACACAGTATTCCAATGTTTTTATTTGTGAAGAATAACCCGGAATTTCTTATCCGAAGCCCCGTCATTGCAGGCCCTTCAGTAAAGAACAGGAAAGGAAACGCTGAATGTCCCCCACATGCTTGGACGATGAACTTGAGAAAGAGGGATATTTAGATGTCTGTGATCCTGAACTCTACCACTAGATGTCATTAAATTCTACACACTTTCATACAACTTTACATTACAACTCCTCAGGAAAGATACAACATTCCTAAAACGGGAAGATAGAAAATTAGTAGATAGAAAATAACAGGAAAGCATCTTTTAGTGTTGCATAAAACCACTGTGACCTCATTCCCTGAATAAATCTTGTCATTACAAACTGGCCACAGAAGATGAATCTAAAAATGTTGTGCACAGGACTGAGGAAGGATTGGAAGATTTATACATTTAGATATATATATTTGGCATTTGCCCTACAGTTCTTGATGGATACTGGGACTCTGTACTTCTGTGTTCAGAGTCAGACCCTCATCGTCCTCATCTTCTGGCAGTTGTGACACCAACTGCTGGTAGCGAGCCTGCCGCTGGTAATCAGGATCAATGTTGATCCATTTATTGGCAACCCATTTAGTGCCGTGGGTGACCACACAGCCTCCATGTAGAGCGTATTCATCCTGCTCTCCAACCCAACCTAATGAGGAAAATAAAAATGTGTCTGATTTTTTTGCCAACAGCCTTTATGTAATCTAAGTGTCACAAAAACACAGATATCGAGGCTGTAAAATACACTGTTTTAACTGATCAATTAACAAATAAAACTAAATGCTGTCCATCTGTTCTATTTAGTTTGTCAGGCTTGCCTCTGTTTTTTTCTCAAGTGCATCAAATTCTGCAGCACAAAATGCACTTTATGCTGAGACTTCTTATTGTGGTTGGGAAACTCTTCATTGGCGCAAAAATAACGTGTTATACCTGTCAAACTATGTTGTAGCATTTTTCTTTGATATATCTAAAAACATCAAAATATTATATCTCAGCTTGTAGGTAGTTGCACTCAGTAATGGTAAATCTGCACCATTAATCTTACAGCAAGTGGTTTTCAGATTTGAATTGGACATTCTCCTATTCTTCTCTTCAGATACTCTAGTTTCCTAATATGCATGAAATGATGATTGGATGGAAGATGTGCATGATTGGGGTGCACTGAGAGTTTGAAAAAAAGAGAGCTTACCAAGAGAGAGTCTATAAGATATATATACTTTTTTTGTTTGTTTTTCAGTTGAATTAATTTCAATTAAGCGTTTTTTGAAACAATATCCAAAAACTGTGCTCTGATTTGCCTACCCGTTCCATCAGACAGGTAGTTGTACCAAAAAACAGCTGTGCCTTTGGAAGGCTTCACTCGGAGGTTGCTCTTGTCACAGTTTCGTCGGGTGTCCAGAAGATCCACATCGTTCTGTATTAAAGACTACAACACAAACTCAAGCTAAGAGGTGCAGCTGAGATGAGAGATGCAACCCATCCGCTCACTGACAAACAAGTGGGCTGACAGAGATATGAAAGACATGCACACTATGTGCACACAACTTTGACAACACGCTCCAAACACATTTACGCACCACTTCATCATAGGTCCTGTTGTCTGCCACAGGGAATGCGGTCTCCCCGCCCCCATCAACAGAATTCAGGTAGAAGAGAACTGTGATGTACCTAAGTGTGCAACACAGGTTTAAATTTATGCACACGCACATGTGGTGCAAACACACAGAACACAAGCACAAACGGACAAACAAGGTGGAAAGCACATACGTTTTTCCAACTTGACAATGTTAAGTCACAAAAACTAACATGCCAGCCGTCACAGTGGAGCATCAGTAACGGTGTCGGACAGATGAGTGCACACTTGAACTTCCAGAGGTTCTTTTGTTTGGATCTTTGTTTGGATTCTTCAGGAATCACCCCTCAGTATGCTCACCTGCAAGACGTCTCGAAAGGAGTGGAGGTATTGGCTGCAAGGCGCGTGTGTGTGCACGCTGTTTCTGGGTAAACAGGCCCACTGTCATGGTGGGCATGGTAGTGCCCCCCCTCATCGTAGCGGACCACCTGAAGCGGCTCACTGAGATCCACTAATGTGGACGGGAGCCGAGTGAGGCGAGTCACCCTTTGATAGAAAAACAGATAGTTCTAAATGATAAATACGTGTTGACTTAATCCTGACATATCCTGATATCTCCTCACTAACCTCTCCTTGATGTCCTGGAGCACTTGGTGTGCTCCTTTTCCTTGGTACAGCCAGGTGTGCCTGCTGTTCCGCACGAGCTGACTTCTTTTCACCCCTCGCTGCAGGAGGAAGCGCTGGAAGGCATCGTTGCTTAGATGTCTGAATTCCTCCAGACTCAGCAAACCTTTCCCAAAGATTCAGTAGAGAACCAACACAACATTTGTGTTAAAACATTTTCATGCCATCTGTCGGCCTTTGTCGTTAAGCTCGAAGACCCCACAAGAATAATACTGCTCCACCAGACTTAAGCCTGAGCCAGAACTACACTGACCTAAAAAAATACAATTGCGTGACAGTGACATCTTTAAATCTAAAAGAATTAGGCAAAAAATAGAGTTAAAAAAGATCTGTAAGAATTTTACTATGATATAGAGCATGGATCAGCCTTAAAGCCCGGCTTATCAGTAAGATTTTTAATCAACTCTTAGCTCATAAGTTAGATTTCTTTTAAGCAACAGTAAAAAGTTGAATTTGTATTTAATTTATTTGAGGCAAGTTAAACAAACGAACTGAAAAGTCTTAGTTAAGCCTGAACTGATGGATGAAGTTGCTTTCTTACCATTATCATCCTTGTCAGCTTTGAGCCCAGCATAGATCTCCCGCAGATTCTCCGGAGTGAGCCAAATGCCATCCCTCACCCGAGAATGAGTCAGTATCTTTTACAGGCACAGCATTGAATGTGAGATGAGTCAACAGTTTTTTTTTTTAAATAAAAGAAAAATAGCTTCATATCATGTGAGCTCACAATCCACAAATTGACATACACCTCATGAAGCTGCAACTGTCCATCCTGGTTGATGTCTAGCAGATTAAAGATCTCCTCTGGGCTGAGGTTGAGCTCCTTGGCAAGCTCTTCTTGTCCATCTTGCACCATCAGTTGGCTCTCCATAAGGCCCTTGAGCTGTGCCAGCTGCATCACCACACGACACTCGTCGTCTGACAGAAACCCAGGGATCTCTGCGCAAACACGGAGGCACTTAGATGTAGCTAACGAGGAAGCGCTCTGCAGCCATAAGGATTACATAACCACACACATTTTCATCTATTCTATTTCTTACTTTCACATTCATTCAAGATGTTGTGCTAAACTGACGTATTCCAAATGTATGCTGACTGGAGTTTAAAAGATAATTTGTATCAGCTGTTAGTACAGATATGGCTGGGAAACGTGGGCGAATCTCCAGTTTTCCAAACGAATATCTAAGCATTTGATGCATTTTTAGAACACACTGATGCATTTGAAACAAATCATGAGGTCTTACAATGTTTCAACATGAATATGGATTGCAGTGAGCCAAATTAAAGAGATAACTTCGGTAAAGCTATCAATACTTTAATGTGACTTAATAATGCTTTAGGGTTGTGTTGCACAGTAAGGCCAGTTGATAAGATCAGTAGTGACAGATCTGTTAAAAGAAACAAGTAAATGAAGTTCAACAATGTAGATTTCATGTTAGAAATTCACAATGAACCTGAAGAGATGCAAGCTTACTGTTTGGCTATGGTTGCCCCAGTTCCCTGACCTATTCATCATCAACACAGACAGATAGACTTTAGATACTAGCTAGAGCATGCATGACAACTCAATAACGTCACTTGGAAATGTTGTGTAATATTTTGCTGATCATGAATCATGCACAAAAATTTGCTGAAAGCTATTATCTCCCATCATTTTTTTCTTTTAATCTACTCTAAATGACAAAATGCATGATAAAAGATTTGGATATGTACTTTTAGGAAAGCAGCTCATACTGTAATACTTGTGATTTCTGTTTTTGTGTGTTTGTTAGGTAAAATGATGAGCTGACAGACTTTGGCACCTGCCTTTCTCTGACCTTTTCTGAGCTGTGCATTCTACCTGAAACTAAAACGCAATAAATAATTCAGTTCTAAGTCATGTCCCAAACACAAATAAAAAAAAACATGAACCATAATGTCTGCGTACCATTTATGTTGCGAGTGCATATAAATATATGTGCATATATGTGAATAGTCAAATGCAGATTTGTGGACTTTGGACTCAGTCATCCCTGAGCTTTTAATTGAATCCCATACTGACGGTGCCTCGGGGCTGACTCGCCTTTCATGCCCTGATTCATCTGTGCGCCACAGACAATATGCGCATGGAGATGCGTGATGAAGATGAAAAAGTTACTTCTAAATTCATGATTGTTTTTTTAAATATCAGAATGAGGAATGTGTTTGAGCCTCTTACCGAACAGCAGTGGCTTCATGCTCAGGGTCCGCATCTCGTGCACTTTGCCCGGCACCAGTGACACCTTCTGGACGTGTCCCACCTGAGGGATAAACCAGAAACTATTACTGCTGCGTATGATTGTATGTGCGAGGGGGGGGGGGGGGGGGGGGGAGACTTAAAATAATCTTTACTTTACTCACTCTTATCCCCTCAATTCTCGTGAGGGACACATCCCGGTGAAACTCGGGTTTGGATGGCGGACGCCGGGACTCGGGGCGCGGGTGGCCACCGCTGGGAGCATCACGACTCTGCGTGGCATCCTCCTGCCCGCTGCTGTAGTGCACGTAAAAGAGCAGCGCGATAACGTTGATGATGTACACGTGAAAAAACACCATAACCACCACGAAATAGGAGCGGGAGCAGATGCTGCTCTTGGTGCCGGAGAGACGCTCGCAGGGAGGCCGAAGTGGCAAGGTCGGTCTCCCTGACGCAGTCGTGTCCCGGGGATCCGCGCTTTCCCCGCTGTCACTCATTTCCCTGCGATTCAAAAAGTGAATGGTTCCTCAACAGCGAAGTCCATCTGGTTTTTAAAACGGACGCGATTGGACAGAGTCAGCATTTACTTGATCAAGAATAAATATGTCAAAATCCTTAAAAGCGTCCAGGCAGTCTCAGGCTCGTAAAAGAATTTTAAATAAACTCGTTGCGCAAAGAAACAAGACTGTGAGCAGATAAAGTGCAATTGCCTCTATAAATTTGAGAGGTGAACTATCCCTACAAGTGTGTTTGTCTTTTCTCTTCCAAACTGCAGCGCTGCAGCCCGGACAGGCTTGTTTACACTGCAGCAGTCCAGTCAGCATCAGCAGCGGCGCACTGCGCATCCAAACCCAGCGCGGAGCTCAGCTCCCACACCAGACCCTCAACCTCGCCCAGACCGATCCACTTACTGACATAATCCCTTAGATTAAGCGAGGTATCAGTAAACACAACAGCACAGTCTGGTATTTACAATATTATTTTACGAGACACGCCATTTCGAGTCATCCCCAGTTGATAGCAACAATATATGCGCAATGGTGACCTCTGGCGACCTAAACCAACAACACACCCCTCTCCAGTGACCTGGCAATGCAAGAATGCAAAGGTTCTTGCATGCAAAAATGTAGTGAATATTTGAATTAGATTATTATAGCTCAAGGTTGGTTACATCCGCTTTATCAAACTGACCATTAAATAGTTCACTTTCTGAATGGTTGGTCATTTATATTAAGTTCCTTCCTGTCTACTCAAACCTTCACTGTTGTGATGGGCTTCAGATAGCCTACAGCTGTCTGTACCAAAGGATGCTCCCAGAAGGCTCTAACTAAGTCCATGTAATTATCTCAGAAGTCTTTTATATTGCATGGTTATTCTTTTTTAATAATAAAATGAATAATCTGCATATTATATACTGCCTATTCCTAGTACGGCCGTGAGATGGGCGCTGGAGGCTGAGTGGACCCCGGACAGGCCACAAGTCCCTCTGGCAGTCGTGGGAAACTAAATATAAGGTAACGAATAGAGGAAGACACAAACAAAATGTTATTTTATATACTACATTGCTTTTATTTATTTATTTCAGACATCATGTTTAACATGTTGATGGGAACCAGTAACAAAACAATCATATTTTATGACTTGTTGTTACACTAATGCACAGTTCTTCATCACTCTTCTCCGTCCTTGGTCTGAAATGTAAGGACAATGTTAAACATGTGACTGATGAGAATACAGATAAGTGGTTTATCAAAGTAGATATGAGAACATTTATCTATACCTTGACAATTTCCCGACTCTTTGCCCTCAGCTTGTTGACCTGAGACTCAGCTATGTCAGCGCGCTCCTGAGCCTCCTCCATCTCATGCTGCACCTTCCTGTACCTGGTCAGGTGAGAGTTGGCCTGCTCCTCCTGGATATGGAGAAAATTCCTTTTTTTAATTATATCACTTTTTTTTCTCATTTGCATGTTTAATATGGGTTGTGCTTACGGCCTCCTCAGCCTGTCTCTTGTAGGATTTCACTTTCAGCTGCAGCTTATCCACCAGATCCTGGAGTCTGACAATATTCTTCTTGTCCTCCTCAGTCTGTTAGAAATCAGAAATGACAGAATGTTGTTTTACATCATTCAGTGCTGCTGAAAAATGCTGGTTTGATGGATGTAAACTACTGTATTTGTATGAGTGCAAGAGATGTGAATAGCACCCAACCTGATAAGTGAGCTCCTTCACTCTTCGTTCATATTTCCGCACTCCCTTGATAGCATCTGCACCACGCCTCTGTTCAGCATCAACTTCAGCCTCCAATTCACGAACCTAAATACATCAATTGAAATAAAAGTATTCAAAATATAGTTTTGACACACAATAAATATCAATGACATGCTTAACTTTGTTTTTTCTCTCTTACCCTCGCCTCCAGTTTCTGGAGCTGCTTCTTGCCTCCTTTCATAGCCAGGTTCTCAGCCTCGTCCAGACGGTGCTGCAGGTCCTTCGCAGTCACCTCCAGGTTCTTCTTCATCCTCTCCAAGTGAGAACTGGTGTCCTGCTCCTTCTTCAGCTCCTCTGCCATCATGGCAGCCTGACATTTTTAGAAAATTAGGCTTTCGACAGTCAGCTAACTGTATTTGTGAGAAGGGAAACTTGAGCACAAAGAGTTACTCACATCAGTGATGGCCTTCTTGGCCTTTTCTTCTGCATTCCTTGCTTCCTGGACAGCATCTTCCACCTCACCTTGGATCTGAATGAGGTCAGCCTCCAGCTTCTTCTTCGTATTGATGAGACTTGTATTCTAAACAGTGAATATGTTTGCTTAAGCACTGTGATGTTCGCTTGTTAGGTGTTTCACATGTGCTTGACTTGAATTTTCAAACCTGAGAGTGCAGCAGTCCCACTCGCTCACTGGCGTCAACCAGCTCCTGCTCGGCCACTTTGCGGCTTCTGTCTGTTTGCTCCAGTGCGGCTCTCAGCTCTTCGATTTCTGCTACCATCAGGTTGTTTCTGCGTTCCACCATTGCAACCTGCTCCTTCATTTCCTCTTGTCCTCTTATTGCCTCATCCAGGTGCAGTTGGGCATCCTAGATTAATTGAAAAATTACACTAAGGTTTGTATTAAGTCATCTTCACTTGGATTTTGTTTAGGAAGCTACTGCCTTATACCTTGAGCTGTCCCTGCACGTTTCTCAGCTGTTTCTGGGCTTCAGCTGCCTGCCG